TGTGCTTGAGGACTGTGTGATATAACAGGTACAAATACACACCTACAATGATACATATAGTGATACAATCTGTATGTGCTTTAGGACTGTGATATGACAGGTACAAATACACACCTACAATGATACAATCTGTATGTGCTTGAGGACTGTGTGATATGACAGGTACAAATACACACCTACAATGATACAATCTGTATGTGCTTGAGGACTGTGTGATATAACAGGTACAAATACACACCTACAATGATACAATCTGTATGTGCTTGAGGACTGTGTGATATAACAGGTACAAATACACACCTACAATGATACATATAGTGATACAATCTGTATGTGCTTTAGGACTGTGTGATATAACAGGTACAAATACACACCTACAATGATACAATCTGTATGTGCTTGAGGACTGTGTGATATAACAGGTACAAATACACACCTACAATGATACATATCAATCTGTATGTGCTTGAGGGACTGTGTGATATAACAGGTACAAATACACACCTACAATGATACATATAGTGATACAATCTGTATGTGCTTGAGGACTGTGTGATATAACAGGTACAAATACACACCTACAATGATACAATCTGTATGTGCTTGAGGACTGTGTGATATAACAGGTACACATACACACCTACAATGATACAATCTGTATGTGCTTGAGGACTGTGTGATATAACAGGTACATATACACACCTACAATGATACAATCTGTACAATGTGTGTTTTAGGACTGTGTGATATAACAGGTACAAATACACACCTACAATGATACAATCTGTATGTGCTTGAGGACTGTGTGATATAACAGGTACAAATACACACCTACAATGATACATATAGTGATACAATCTGTATGTGCTTTAGGACTGTGTGATATAACAGGTACAAATACACACCTACAATGATACAATCTGTATGTGCTTGAGGACTGTGTGATATAACAGGTACATATACACACCTACAATGATACAATCTGTATGTGCTTGAGGACTGTGTGATATAACAGGTACAAATACACACCTACAATGATACATATAGTGATACAATCTGTATGTGCTTGAGGACTGTGTGATATAACAGGTACAAATACACACCTACAATGATACAATCTGTATGTGCTTGAGGACTGTGTGATATAATAGGTACAAATACACACCTACAATGATACATATAGTGATACAATCTGTATGTGCTTTAGGACTGTGTGATATAATAGGTACAAATACACACCTACAATGATACAATCTGTGTGTGTTTTAGGACTGTGTGATATAACAGGTACAAATACACACCTACAATGATACATATAGTGATACAATCTGTATGTGCTTTAGGACTGTGTGATATAACAGGTACAAATACACACCTACAATGATACAATCTGTATGTGTTTTAGGACTGTGTGATATAACAGGTACAAATACACACCTACAATGATACATATAGTGATACAATCTGTATGTGCTTGAGGACTGTGTGATATAATAGGTACAAATACACACCTACAATGATACAATCTGTATGTGCTTGAGGACTGTGTGATATAACAGGTACAAATACACACCTACAATGATACAATCTGTATGTGCTTGAGGACTGTGTGATATAACAGGTACAAATACACACCTACAATGATACATATAGTGATACAATCTGTATGTGCTTGAGGACTGTGTGATATAACAGGTACAAATACACACCTACAATGATACATACAGTGATACAATCTGTATGTGCTTTAGGACTGTGATATGACAGGTACAAATACACACCTACAATGATACAATCTGTATGTGCTTGAGGACTGTGTGATATAACAGGTACAAATACACACCTACAATGATACATATAGTGATACAATCTGTATGTGCTTGAGGACTGTGTGATATAACAGGTACAAATACACACCTACAATGATACATATAGTGATACAATCTGTATGTGCTTTAGGACTGTGTGATATAACAGGTACAAATACACACCTACAATGATACATATAGTGATACAATCTGTGTGGGTTAATATATTGAGAAATACAATGTATGAGGATTATCTGAAGAGTTCTAAGTGTAACTATGATTGCTGTAGTTGGAGTTGAACACTACCATGGCCACAACTGTTGCATGATTTATGACTAGTGCAGCATGTCTAGGACACATGGTACAGTGAGTCACATCAGAAATATTTACATTGTCTGCATTGGAGAAAACATTTGTGTAAGAAAAGTTGCCATTCATCCCGATTCTGCTGTCACCAACACCTGGTTGCAGGAGGCCATATTTACTTGGGGAAAAAGTAGATTTGTAAATGGAAAAAGCTTTCATTGTATAATTGGTGAATAGACACAGGTGCCCCAAAAGTGCTTTCCTGCTCCAGCTAAAGAGTTGCATTCTTTAGCTGGAGCAGGATTTGCTTGTCACAGAAGACTGTGATCTGTGAGCAGTCTGAAGATCTGTAGCTGGATACCAGCACCATTAGACAGAAGGACTTGTGCTGTTAGCAGCCTCTAATCTGTGACAAACTAACATGCCTCCAGCCATTGTATGGGTAAAGGAAGTGGGGTAGCCTATTGGTTAAAGTGTTCGCTCGTCATGCTGAAGACCCAGGTTCGATTCCCCAATGGGTACAATGTGTGAAGCCCATTTCTGGTTTTCTCCCTGCCATGATATTGCTGGAATATTGCTAAAAGTGGCGTAAACAAAACTCACTCACTCAGTCAATGTATGAATAAAAACTGGAGGTATGTGTCTTGTTGATCTGGCCCCCAGATGATAACCCTAAGGTGATCGTAACCCCCATACTTTAACAAAGACTTACGACAGTCGTAGCACTACGATCGCTATGAGGAACAGGCCCCTGAAACAGTACATTCTGCTGGTGTACAGGATAATCATAGTGTGGTATGTGTGGAACATTATATATTATGGGTTTTTATCACTCATAAAAGCAGCTGTCACTTGAATGTGCTGCATTCCATTTCATATATCATGGCTTTTGGGGAATTGCGGTGATGTCTATCCAATGTCATGTTTGGCACACCACAGGCCAAACCCTGATTTGGCTTCACTGCAGTTCCAACATTGTACCTGTATGTGTGGTAATGACAAAATGGGACATGGTGGTGTGAAGCTGTAAGATACCATCATTCGCTGTGCAGAGTTGTGTCCCTTTGGTGTGAAAGTATCCAGTAGACAAGGTTTTAATGCCAGGATCTCCTAGTTATATGTCTTTTTTTGTCAGCACCATAACTGTGCTTGTGCACATCTACCCTGTCATCTCTGTCACTGTCTGTTTTTCTCAAACATTAAGATTCTTTTCTGACAGAATACATCCAGATATAATACTGGTAATCTCCAGACAGTTAAATGTGTTATAACAGTGAACCCTGTGTGTAATAATATAACCTTCCCTGTCTGGTCCTGACTAGTGGTGGTCCGATTAATTGAAATAATCGAAGATTGGTCGTAGTGACTAAACGACCAAGCAATCGATCATAATTTCTCATAATCGAACACAAACAATTCTGGAACACTTGTTTTCATTAACAATATTTTTCACATGGTTAGTTTTGTCTGTTACATTTCGTAAGCACTACAAGCTCGTTTCAAGTCACGATTGAATTTATCTTAAAGATTCCAAGAAATTTATGTTCCTAACATACTAGTCATCCTTTAAAAAAAACCCCACAGAACTACTTGTTTTTTACCTTATTTTTATGTGCATTAACAAATTTCATAAATGATGCTAACCAATTATTTTCGATGATTGATCGGTAGTAATGAACCAGTCATCAATTATGAGATTTTAACCAATTCCCAACACTAGTCCTGACATGGTACTCTGCCATACACACTGCAAGGTCAGTGACCTGCACACTTCCTGGTTCTGGTAACTTCAGTTTTGTTCAGTTAAGGTTACTTGTAGACTTGCACAAGTCTCTAAGGAAATAATGAATAGTTTACATAATAATTTCTAAAAAATATATAAATAACAGACTCGGATCCTTATCTACACTTGCATCTTTAAAGGATAGAATTACTACACATGCATGGGCTTACCACTCAGTACAGCTTTAGAGCAAGGCTAGGTTACATGCAGCAGCCATGATAATTTCACATCTCAACCATCATGATTTGTTCCTAAATCTGACTGTCTGATGAAAACATAGTTAATAATCATTCCATTTTTTGTTTATTTACAAACAAACTTGACATTAATAAATGACATGCTGGTATCTAGTTCCTAGTATATGTCTGGAAAATTGTGAAATATCTATTTTATCTATAAATAGGAATTTCAAGTTCTATTGATTGACAAAGAATCAATAAAAGTTAATAATAAAATACAGTCCCAAAATTGATGTATATGTGACCCATTACCTTGATCACCTGCAGCTGCCATGTTATGTGACATTGGATCGGACAAGAAGATGTATCTTTGTCTGTTTGCTAAAACTAAATATATTCTCCGAGAGAAATCATAAAATCCAACTGGCGACATGTGCTTTGTTTCATTGGGTCAGTGAATGTGTGGGAATAAATGGTTTCATAGCTTCTGTGCTGTGACTGCTACTCTATACTGCAGCTGTCATTACGATTAGCGAAAACAGAATTTTAGACTAGGAGCATGATGAATTGGGGTGAGCAGAATGAATAGATTAGAGTATACTTGAGTAGTCAGAATGACGTTCTCAACAGATGTTTAAGCTGATTGTTGTTCCCAAGTCATAGAGATGGTTGGAATATTTGATTATTTCTGATTTTTCAAGCAGTCTGTTTCAGATAATTTGTGAGCATGTGAAGCTTAGAGCATGTGAAGGCCAATAACTGACTTGTTTTTACGGCCAGTGTTTATATGAGAATGTTTGGCATGGTGGTAGGGGGATATTTACTTCAGTGGTATAGAAATGTGACATGGCAATGAAACTTTGGTTTCATTCTTGACTGATTGTGAAAAAATAATGTTTATTCATTGTGCAAATTATTTTCCAGAAAACCATAGGTGTGTTCAAGCCAAAGGACGAGGAGCCCTACGGTCAGCTGAATCCCAAATGGACCAAGTGGATGCACAAGCTGTGTTGTCCATGCTGCTTCGGCCGCAGCTGTCTGGTGCCCAACCAAGGGTACCTGTCCGAGGCCGGCGCCAGCGTGGTGGACCAAAAACTGGGACTCAACATTGTCCCCAAAACCAAAGTAAGTCCATCTGATATCAGCAGCCTTCTGGTTTATCTTCCATGTAAATGGTTGCAGTGAGTTAACGCGAGTGGGAAGATTCAGGAAGTGAGGATACACTAGGAGGATAAGGAAACAGAATGTGTTATTTTTATTTGGTCATGTGGTAATGGACAGCTTTGTTTTACTGTGAGTGCAACATGTGTTGAATTATTATTAGAATGAAGGGAAGTAACTCTTCCCCATTTCCAGACATTGTCATTGTTTAATCAATATAATTAAATCAAATTTGTTGGGAAACAAAAACAGCTGTTGAAGAGAATGTAAAACCTCAGCCATAGAGCATTTACTAATGCTTACATTGTGCACAAACTGTGGGGAAGAAATTGTTTGCACCAGATAAATAAACAATTTTGCTGTTCAATTTAATGCAATATTTAATCATTTAACAGTTTATATTTATTTCATCATGATTCCTCTTGGAATGTTTATTGGGTTGGAGCCAGAATAAACCAACATTCGTTGATCTGTAGTTCTTTGCTCGTCTTCTACCCTTCCTTTCCATGCTCCAAGCTTGAACCCTTGCCCTGCTGTGATTGTCACAACTCGACTGTTGCAGGTTGTGAAGCTAGCAAGTGATACATTTAACTACAATGCAATAGACAGGGCAAAAGCAGTCACAAAGAAGAACATCCGAGATCATGTGCCAGTGGTCGGAAAACGCTTCAAAGAGGATAGGCTTGCCACCGAAGGTTAGTTGTAAATACATTGTACTAGCAGTGAGCAGGTGATGAGGGATGTGGTGACAGTCAGCCAGGTATATGATGCGCATACTTGTATTTGACAGGACTTGACAATTGTATGTCATGGCTGGTCTGAAGAATCCACAGGTAGGGAACTCTCTGGCCATTGGTCCACGGACTTGGGGCTTCACACCATAGCATTTGGATTGAATACACAATGCCATTTAGAAAGTGGTCAAATGTGACACATATTATATTTGGGATTACATTTTCTAAGTCATGGCTGGTCTCTGGCCATTGGTCCATGGCCTTGGGGCTTCATACTATAGCATTTGGAATGACCAAGAACTAGTCGTCCTATGTGGATGCCCATGCACTATCTTCACCATTATCATCGGATTTAAGTGCTGACTGTTACTACTAGGTGCAGGTATTGTTGTATCAAGTATGTCCAGACAGTATATATTTCAAATTCTTATTTGGGCATTGTGTATACTAACACTGTGACATTATTATCAATATCAATCACAGGTATTATCATATCATATCATATCATGTCATATCATATCATATCATATCATATCATATCATATCATATCATATCATTCTTTCTTTCTTTCTCCAGAACGGGTCATTCCAAACGTTTGTGAATGGTTTTAAGGACGCAGATTACTGGCTACGGAAGTTTGACAACGAGCCTCTACCAGAAACCACGTCTAAAACATTCCAGCATCTATTTGAGAAGCTGGTTGTTTTAGATTATATCATTAGGAATACAGGTCAGTTTACAGACAGAGTAAGTATGGAATAGTTGAATATTAATTGACATCCAAAACAGCTGGATGATGCACTCAGTGTAGGACATTTAAGTTGACATTTCTGTCAGAGGGAATGTCCCCTCAACTAGACAGCAACTGAATTGTTTTAAGATATCCTCTTTTCATCTGGAGACACATCTTTCAGTAGAGCTCCTGTTTGGGTTTTGGTTTAAGGTCCTGTTTTGTCTAAGATGCTTAAACTCACTGTGCGGAGATCTTTCACTTAGCCAGAATCCTATGATGAATGGTTTGAATCCCAGCAAGTTTGATTTTTGGTCTCTCCGCATCATATCTTTGCTTCAGGTTTTCCTTAAAGGGTCACCTTGTAACATGTCTGACCTGTGTCATTTTAAGCTTACATCCCATGTTAAGCCTGACAAACGTCTGCCTCCATGCTGTAGTGGTTAGAGCGTCCACCCGGAGAGGAGAAGGTCGTGGGTTTAATCCCCGGCCGCGTCATACCAAAAGACGTTAAATATTGTACTTGTTGGTCCCTGCCTGGCGCTCAGCATTAATGGGTACAACGAGGACAAACACTGATTGTTGTGTTCAGACAGAATGTGAAACAGTCTGCACCCTGTCACATGTGACCACAGATCACATGTCTACCACACGTGCTTCAACTCACTGTAAAGTTTTTTAAATATTGTTGGCAGTGAAGGTTCTGTTGTTCAGCCATGTAATCTTTTGTTGTTATTGTAAAGTTTCAATGTCTTGTTTACAGATCGAGGCAATGACAACTGGTTAATAAAGTATGACATAACAACAACAGCACAAGACAGCAGAGAGGTGGGTCTTGTCGATACATACTGGCCCTGTGCAGCAGGTTGTCATTATCATGGTCATTTGTTGTGCTTCTGTCATGTCCTGAGATAATGGCAGCAATGTGGGGTAGCCAAGTGGTTAAGGAATTTGCTTGTCATCCTGAAAATCCACTTTTTTCTATTCCTCACATCCAATAGTTCAAATATTCTGTGGGGGTGGTGGGGTAGCCTAGTGGTTAAAGCGTTGGCTCGTCACGCCATAGACCCGGGTTCGAATCCCACATGGGTACAATGTGTGAAGCCCATTTCTGGTGTCCCCGCCGTGATATTGCTGGAATATTGCTAAAAGCGGCGTAAAACCAAACTCAGTCAGTCAGTCAATATTCTGTGTATTAGAGTGCCAAGGAAACAACTGAAAACATGATGACCCTATGAACACACTGAAGGCAATGTGATTCACAACATAAACACCTGGATCCAGAATATGTTTATCAATCTCAATGGAAAGGCAGAAGGCAACCTGTCTAAATTACAACTGCTTGTAGTGAGAGTTTGAAGGTGGAGATAAACTGTTTTCTTGTTGGCACACATAAATTTCAAAGGCCCCTACCACTGAACATCTCTGTGAGTGCACTGTGGCACACGTAAAATACATGCTTCTCTATCTGTACATGTGTTTGATGATGGATGAATTAAGCCGAATTCCTGGTGTGCTGCAGGATTGCTGGAATATTATGACAGGACTCACTAAAGTACTGTTGGAAATAGAAAAAGACTGTTTTTTTCGCATTTATATCTACAATTTATGTAGTTAATATGTGAAAGTGTGAAATATCTGTTAAACTAAGTTTGGCCTAGCTACAGTCTCAGTGATAGGGAGATAGGAAACGTAAAAAAGGGTCTTTACTGAGGAGAGATTAGTGCAGAAATGAGCAATGCGATTTTTTTCTAAGTCCAAAGCGGCTTATTTGGAACAAACCATGACTTTATGCAAATTAGTGTGCGATGATATTGTATTACAAAGGACACTTTTTAATTGACCATTTTGAAATTAAACTTAGCTTCATTATAAACGATAGCTGACGTAATAACTAATAACTTTGATACTGAAACTATTAAGGAAGTAGCTACCAGTGAGTCTCACTATCACTATGAAAAGGAAACAGGTAGGAGGGTTTGTTTCAAAAGCAAAACCAGGACGTGTGTTGCAGACGGTGGTTGGGGTCGGGCTGGGGGATAGAGATATCAGCTGGGATAACATAACCCTTTGGTGGAATTAAACTGGGGAAGCAAACTGTATGTCTCACCAATTTACAAATAATATCCAGTCCTGTCGATTTTTGGTGGTCATGCCACCTATATATTTTGGGACATTTAATACGATGGCTGATATAAGCTTGTCTACTCTTTTACATATCTGAACATAAACTTTATTAAAGAAAGACGCGTAAGATGTTAATCAATAGATGAAACATATTCAACACACACGAAAAAGCATCAAATATTTCTGAGATGACCCCTTGTGCCTGTAGGCAGCACATGCATTTCATGCCAGGTGAGTCGACGGTCCATCGTCATACCAGGCTGATGACCTAATTGCCATCTATAGTCTGATCTATTGTTTTTAGCAGCTATTCGTAATTTTTCTAACTTTTGCCCAATTTTACGAGTAAACTTGCTCTTCTGTAGATCCTATTACGCATCCTACTGAACGCCCAGTTAGGCCGATGTGGGTTATTTCGACATATGCTATTTGCAATTGTGTCAATTTTAGGAATACAGAGTAACAGCCTAAACACAGTTTTTTATCTATTTCCGACAGTACTTTAGTGATTGTCTCACAAACATAATGGGGAGGAGCATCATTAAGCTGACCTGGTGTCCCTTTAATTACAAACACTGTTCCCCCTAAATATTAGTTACAGCATGGTAGCAAAGACTGCTGAGTTAATTCCAAATTCTCAAAAACAAATTTTTACTCAAATCTTCATCAGAATTCAATTCCAACTCAGCAGTTGAGATTGGTTGGAGATCATTTCCCCTCTCTGACCTAAGCAACCCTGGCACAGAATTTCTAATGTGAAAATTGAGCTGTTTGTTTCAAGAAATGCAATTACTGAGCTTTCCCTATTTGAGTAAAGAGTGTTGTTTCATGAAATCATGTCTAGACAGTTGAGAACCTTGATAGCATTGATCTTGGCTCATTCTGGACGACACAAACAGGTTGACAAGACTTGCTTACTGTTTACTGTGTTTGCTTGATGTTGTTGTAATATGATGTTGTGTAAAACACAAGCTGTTCCTGTGAACACAGTAACACTATGACATTGTATTTTACTTATTTACAGGACTCGGAATGGAGTTTAGTGGAGAACCCTGAGATAAACATAGCGGCGATAGACAATGGTTTAGCATTTCCCTACAAACATCCTGACGAGTGGCGAGCATGTAAGTCTTTAGCTAACACAGCAGAAGTAAACTTGAACAGACTTCGCCACAACAGATGTACATATCTTTCATGGAAAGTTTTAATGTTTGTGCATTCTATTTCTGCTTTGAACAGCTGCGAAAATGAAACCAAAATGTCAGCCAGGTAGAACATTTTAACATAGCACAATGAAGTTTTGTGGCATCTGGTCACTTGAGCTGTAACTGTATGCTATATAGTTTGGGTGTAATTCTGTCAGTGGAATTTGTCATACAACTGTCAATATAATGCTCGTTAGAGAACCACATTAATGTTGTATCATCATGGATATGATGACAGCCATGTTGTGTCCTGTTGTCAGACCCCTACCATTGGGCATGGTTGCCACAGGCCAAGATCCCCTTCTCCCAGGAAGTGAAGGACCTTGTGTTACCTCAGCTGGCTGACATGAACTTTGTACAAGATCTCTGTGATGATCTCTTTGAACTCTTTCAGGTAGGAGCCCAGAGTGTGTGGAGTTAATGATATAGGATGGGAGGGGGATGGACAAGATGGTGGTGACGGATGAGGGGGGTCTGATGTAGTACTGAACAATGAATGAGGTGGTTGGTTTCTGAAAAATGACTTGGGTGGTGGGAAATGGATGGGGGAAGATGATGATTGCAGGACTAGTAAATGGGTGGGTAGTGTAATGCCTGGGAAATGATTTGATAGGGTTTAGAAGTCAATGGAGGTAATAGTGTAAATTAATGGGAATCTGACAGTATGTGTTTTGTGGGAGTCCTTGACTGAACTATGGTGTGTGGAAATGTGTTTTGATGCAGCTTGTGGAGTTCTTCATGTTTGATGTAATTACAGTGTCACGATTAGTAAACCAGTGCATCGACATGGCGTTTGTACAGTGTCCGTTGTAGCAAGATCCTTGTAGCTATCTGCTGCTAAGAGTACGTCTGGTGGTGGTCAGTGGATCTCAAATATTCTCACATGGTTTTGTCAGAATGCTGTCTACCTCATAAGTGTCAGTACATGTGTAACTAGTATAAATTCCCTCTTGCAGACTGACCAGGGTTTTGACAAGAGCACATTCGAGAAACAAATGTCTGTGATGAGGGGACAGGTGAGTTATTTCCCTTTGATTGTGGCTTGATTTTTAGGCAGTTTGAAGTCATTTCAGGCAGCAGAGTGCGTGGTGTGACTTCTGCTGACACCTTGACAATACCATCATTCCCAGACCTGACAGAAGAGTGTACACAGCTGTAATAGTGTCGGGTGGTGGTGCTTGAATTCCATGAAATCTTCTTTTCATTGAAGTGGGCACAATGGACAAGTGATCTTAGGTTCCTCTATTTGGTGAACATGCTTGTCATAAGAGGCGACTAATGGGATCGGATGGTCAGACTCACTGCCTTGGTTGACACGTCATCGTATCCCAATTGCGTAGGGTTGTGCAGGGTTTGTGTCCCTTGGTAATTGCAGGATCCACTGATCATGGGTTTGAATCCATATTGACACCCTGGGGTCCTTAATCTGTTCATTCCAGTGGGTGTCAGCCATATATATCTACGACTTGCTTAACTTAGGCTTTCCTCACACATAGCAAATGTGATCTGACAAAACTGCTGAATCCAAACCTCTCCTTCTTTCCAGATCCTGAATCTGACCCAGGCCTTAAAGGACGGCAAGTCTCCGGTGCAGCTGGTGCAGATGCCTGTTGTCACGGTGGAGAGGAACCGAGCAGGTCTGGCTCGGACACTCCTTGACAGCGACACATTCACGCAAAGTTTTGCTCACCGAGCACCATTCTTCTCCTGGTGCTGACGAAATTGTTATCCTAAAATACTAAGTCTTGTGATAAAATATCTGTCTACATTAAAATGAGGTATACCTATCCTGAAACTATTCAGGAGGTAAGCTGACTGTCTCTGGTTCAACGTGTGGTGATAAGCTGTGTGTGCGAGTATGCTCAGCATGTTTGATGGACTCAGGCTTCAGCAGCAGAAGCAGTACCAGAGCTTGCTGGACTTAGTATTAGCATTGTACATTCTTGTACCTGGACTCATACCTTCATGCTTTAGCCCCCCTATAACACAAATAATATATTTTCTGCATTATGGCCCTCTAGCATCCCTGATTGTCATTATAATATCGCAGTCTCCATGTATGTAATCTGTAATATGAAACATGTTCACAAGGCTACAACAAACTGATTACTTGTTTGTCAGAAATTGTTGAATCCTCTTTGTCAGACAAAAGTGACTTTTAGGTTTAGAACACAAAATATACATGAGGCTAAACAAATGTTCTTAAAATCTTAGAATAGGAGAACCAATCTAATCAATTTGATCACTGATATTCCATGAGATGATATGATGATATCGTCCTCTGTATTTTGACTTTGGGGGAAATTTTGAAAAACAAGTAATCACTTTGGAGTGCTCTAACTGCCATAATAGTACACCATCTGTATTATCTTAATTTTACAACAATCATTATGTCAAATATTTAAGATGATTTCATTTTCACATGAGTGAAAGTTTTCCCTAACACCAGAAATACATGTAGGTCATTCAAAGAAATACAGGTATGCCTGAGATTTTATGAAACCATTGTAGGATGTATTTGCAAGCGATTTTGTTGTTGATATTTTGTTCAGTGCCAATGACATGCCAAGGATAATAACCTCAAGTTTAAGGGAAAACATAGCAATAGTCTAGCATCACAGTTGCTGCTTCTGCCATATAGTTGAGGGATGTACCTTGACCTGCTCAGAGGCCAATATTAGGCCCCAAGTCAACAGCGAATGTCACTAGAATCATATATACTGTATATTGCCGCATATAAAGAGACATCATGTATAACACATACCATCAAATTCAATGCTAATTTTTATCAGCCATCGGACACATGTTGACATCACCGGTCAGAAAACCGTGAGATCCTGTACCCCGTGCATGAGGTGTCCCTCCTTCAAACCCTTCTAGGTACAAGAAACTCGCCTTATACATACTCCCTGGAGGTATTCACTGAAAGAAAATCATGGTATAAATTGAGGCAATATAGGTTGGCCTTTCATTGTCAGAAGTAATTTGGATGTTTGAAAGAGCTGATGGCCATAGGATGGAATATGTTTGTTCAGATGTATCCTATCTAGTGAAATTATAATGCCCAGAAACAACACATTGAGGTGTGATATATCTGTCCTTCATCATACTTTGCATTTTGAGAGTGGAAGCAGTGAAACTGGTCAAGTTATACCAAATCTTATGTTCTGGTTCTAAGTGTTACAAAACCATGTATGGAGTAGTTTGATATTTGTTGTGAACAGTTTACGTTTATTAGATGTAAGACTTCAGCAAACCTTCAGACATGTTTGCCATTCGGTGCGTCAATAAGAGAAATATACACCAAACTAACAGTGAAGCCATATGACCATACTTAAAATGATAGAAAGCATGTAGCCAATCAGACAATTTTTAGTAACCTTGATGGTAGTGCAATTCTTTCAGATTTGTAAGATATGTTGGGAGAATCCTCCCATTTCTCACAAGAGTTATGTTATAGTGGATCTGGTCTGGATCCCAAACCTATCTATAAAAGATGTGTCTTGGATTAGATGAAGCTGATGTTATGGGAGCTGTGCTCCAATAAACTGAAGGCCTCGGAAAGGGCACAGATATAACTTACGCCAACTTTCCAATCAATGAACTATTGCCATGTTTGAAAGTTCTACAATGTGGTATTATTGCAAAGCTTTTGACCAAAAATTTGCAATAGTTGTAGTAATACTTTCACTTTGTGCTTTGCAAGTATGTTTTCATAAAATGTGATTCAAGATGGCTGTCTAAATAATACCTTTTTTCAGTTTTGGAAAGTTTTAATGAGTAACTCTTCCACCCCAGTTTGTTTGAAGCCACCATATTATGTTCCCCTGGTAACAAGAGACTGCCATGGAGACAAGATTTTGTTTGTACATTTGGGTATTGAAGGTTCAATATGTGTCACAGGGGTGGAAATAACTTTAAAATTGCTAGTGTCTTCCAGTACAGTGGCACATGTAAAATCACTTGCCTTGATAATTTTACCACTATACTGGCAGTTTTCTTGTTGATTTTTTACATAAACAACATAATTAATGTTGGAAAGTCAACTGGACACCGGTACAGTGTAATATACAAATTTGCTTGCCCAACAGAAAAAAAACACTGGACTCGGACATCAGGCAATGGGTTATTTCCACCCCTGTGTAACAATATACTGTGATACACAGGCCGTATTGAGATACTTATCACAATACATTCTAAATTCTAAATTCAGAAGTGATGTGAAATATTGCATAAATTGAACAAAACAAGATGCTGGTGATAATTTTTATTCAATATTTATGCAATATACATTGACAAGAAGTCCAGGAAATGATATCACACTGGTCATCCTTTCACCTCATTGCAACGTGGAAACAATGCATGGACACACCGCAATGTTTGGTTCTTTACACATGATAAAAAATTGCTATAAGAAACCACCCAATAAACCAAGCATTTAGAAATAACATTGTGATATGTATCGTGGAAAGCTTGAACCTCAACATACTGTTACACCAACAATACCAGGAACCCTTATTTGGTTGATTGCATTTCATCATATTAATCAATTGCCGTGATTCTAGTCCAGACTTGTTTTTTACTGAACGCCATCATGTAACTGGAATATGGGGGAGTGTGCCAATATAAAACAACAAACAGTGGGGAACTTGAAAACAACTCCATTATTCACATCAGATAACATTACAAACATTGTACTGTGGAAGATCTTTTCTGATCTGGTTTGAATGTGAATTGTTGTCATATTGTCATTCTTGTGATCTTACTAGCATTGTCAGTTGATTGACTGAGCATGTGATTTAAGGCATAATTGATGTAATAGTATAACAGTTGATTGGTGGAAAGAGATGGCTGTGATGTTTTTGTTCCTGGAATGAATAACACATTTGGTTCTTGAATGGATGCTGAGAGGTAATCTGATCTTGTTTTCAATGTAAATGTATGCTTTAGTAAACTAAGTTCTTCAGATATCAGAAGAGGGATCAATGAAAAGACAACTCCATTTGAAGGGGGTTTCAAGATGTACCGGTATGCTCATAGTAATCATCTGTGTCCTGTCAACCATGAACATCAAGCAACAAGAAACTGGCTATTTTGGAACAAAATGAAAATATTTGACATTAATTAATATAAATAGGACACAATAATAGTGTCACACTTTTAATCTTTCAGACGACATGTTTGATAAATTCTTATCGCTTTGTTTTTCGTGGCAATTTATCTATCATTGGATAAAAATGAATGACAAGTTGAAAGGTTTAGATGTTTGGCAGTACCCTCCTTTCTCTGTTGAGCGTTCTACATTATGAGAGTGTTCCTGGATGCATACCCAGTATGACATAATTCAGGGCTTAATCAATACAAGAGCGGTATGGGGCCGGGTGTAAGAAGTATGACCAGGGTGTCACAAAGAGATCTCAGCACAAGGGGATCATCACTCCCATACCTTAACACAGACTTTTGTCTCGGTCAAGTGCTCTGTGCGAATGAAAGATGTCCTGACCTGAATACATTCACAAATAGTACGATAATTATTCAGAGCTTAATCAGTACAACAGCTGTATGGGGCAGGGTGTAGAAAGTAGGACCAGGATGTTGTTGTACAAAGCGAACTTAGTGTGTTCGTAACTCTTGTATCATTAATGTAGACTTACATTTATAACACTGAGGTAGTTTTGTAGAACGACACCCAGAGCATTAGCAGCATGTAGAAACTGCTTGTGATGGGGTTTGGGGAGCCATCCAGCCATGTATTCTGTTGACTGCCACGTCTTTCACAATGAAACATTTAGTTGATGATTGTTGCCGATGGTTGCATCCATCATGTCTTCAGAGAGGGCGGGATTTGTTTATGTTTGTGATGTTTGTTGGCGTCTTGTTTGTATTATAGCTGATATTGAGTAGTGCACATGAAGGCAGGGTAGGGGAGAGGGTGTAGGTCCAGATGTTGAATTCAGACCAGGCAAGGCAGACATTTTGTTTTGTTATCTTTAACAGTGTTAGCAAGAGCTTTTGTTATTGGGTTTGTCCTGTTAGAACTTGACCCCTTCAGCTAGTGAATAGTACAGTAACACATTAGCTGTGTCTTCTATCTGGCGCTGGCTTCGGAAGCATTTTCATTGTATAAAATCAAATACCTGCCACAATGGTAGATGGGAAGTAGAGACAGATCTGATGCTAAACTCTTCTTCCATGTTGCCATTCGTTGATATTGTCTTGAAATTGTCAGAAAGAAACCAGGATTTATTTCATCATGACTTACGATGAAGTAAGAAGTAAGATTTATTATATATATTGTTATATCTTTAGTGTTCAATTTCATGTAAAAATTTCTGCTTTATCCAACAACATGAATTATCACTAAACCTATCCTGTTCAAACAGTGATCTGGCTATCTCTTATTGTTACAGGTAATAATGAACCATTGTAAACAAAAAGTGACATGGCCACCCCATTTTTATGGATGGCTGTGGAGAAGAAAGAGTCGAGATGAAATAGGGTTTTACCATCATATTAAAGCTTATTGCACTGATGAAGTTCTGTGCATGCATGCGTGCGTGCGTGTGTGGCTGCTTGCAATATCCTTTCCTAGTGGCAGTCTCATAGTGCCAGCCCACTGATGTACCATGCCACATACTGACTCCCAAGCCGACCAGTCATTGTTCTATTCCTTTGATGCTGATTGTCAGCCATGGTAACAAGTACCATCTTTCAATGTCTTATGACAAAGTTGGGTATCAGACCCCCAACCTACCTCCCTAAAGGCAGAAGCTCTGAGGTTTACATGTTTAAATATGGCAATAGGACTTAAAAGTTTGATCTTAGGGTTGGTTGTGCAACAAGAAGGATGTTGATAACTTCCCAGCATGTTCCTGAAAACCATTTCAGTTATTTTCCCCTTGATTGTTTCAGTGTTTTTGAGAAATTTTCTTTTTCACTTTTTCTTTAAATTGATGTTTGTGACAGTGTTGGTTGAAAGGTTTCTCAAGAATTAAGATTATGTTTAAATCTTCAAGGGCCTTTAAGTCCTGTTATTTATTTATATCATGGTAAGAGGCATGCATGGTAGTTATAGGTCTTTTTTTTTTTTAATGCATCATTTCATTACAATGACATGTATTACCCCTGTATGGATATGTAATCCAGGTACCTGATGCATAATTCAACAATAGGGGTATAACAGTGTTTCATAAGCATGTTTTCATTCATGCTGCCAAAATATTTAGAAATATACATGTCACCAATTTTATCATTCCAAGCAATGAACAATCATGCATGAAAACATCTTATTTCTTCTTCAATTAAAAAATTAATTTTTGACATCATGGTTTTGCTAATATGTTCCTTTTTCTAAAAGTCTTTACTTGAGAGCAAAAGTTGTAAAAAGTTTGCCAAATTTGTTCCCTCCCTGACTTCATATCAACTCACCTGTTTAACCGATCCTGCTTGCAAATCATTGTAAATGACTGAGCTGATGTATTTGTCAACTCTGGACTTCTGTGTATGGAGGCCAGGTCCTTCTGCTGTCTAATTGCCTTACAGAACCATGTATATACAGGTGTTCCCATTTCATTGTCACAGTGATTGTCTTGAATATTTGTCTATTTTATCATTCCATGAACCATTTATTGTGTATTGATATATGTATATAAGAACTAAAGCTGTAAATACTTATTGTGAATAATATTAAATGTCTTCCTCATTAGAGAAGTGTTGTGTATTTTTTTCATTAAAAAGAAACAACTTCTGAAATATGTGCTTGCCCAAAGCATGGATTAATAATATCAGTAGTATGGAGTGAGCACCTTTCACATTCCTTCACAAAGGTAATCAGTAAGGTAGGTGGCAATATGGTGTATGTGTAGAGGAGGGGGAAGCATTGGTAGCTCAGTTGTCTGAGGCAATGTGATTTGCTGTACACAGTTGAATGCCTTCAGGGTGCTAGAAATAGATGGAATCCCAAATTTAACCTGATTGTGTTTCTTGACTTTTCTCCAATATACATAACCCTGTGGGGGACCTGTATCACTCAAGGCTTTCTTCCCACATCAAACTAACACAAGGATATGACAAATGCTGTAGACAGTGGCATTAGACCCATCTTACTCACTCACTATTGGTTATTCTACTGCGTGTATTTAAGTACCGATTTCCTTTAATAAGCGTCAGAGTAAAGCTGCGGTTTAAGAAATAAGCGCCAGGTACGTTTTGTTATAAATGTATTCTCCCTTGATCCCAAAATAGAATGGTCCCTAACTTTGACGTAACGTTCACTAACAATTAATTACGGTACACCCAGTAAGCGCCGGGCCTCTAATAAGCGCTGGGTCTGGAAGTCCGTTGAAAAAATAAGGGCTCCTGGGGCTTATCAGAGGAAATACGGTACTATCAACATTTCAAAACAATGGTTAGGTTCTCATACCTATTCAATGCACTTCGACAGAGGTTTACTGTCAGCTGTAATGCATTTGACTGGAGCATGCCTTACCTCCTTCAACTGTGCCATCAGGAAACCAAGAGCCATTACATGTAGATCTTTTGGCACTCCGAACATATTTTATTGCCAGAATGAAGAGTCAACTTTATCTTCAGGCTGGTGGAACTGATTTGCAGTAAAGGTACCACAACTGAAAGACAAGGCAATGCCCGATTCTTGTGTTTGCTGCTAAATGTGAATGTTGCTGAAAGAAATATTTTCGTTTACAGTTCAAGAATGACTTATACTACAGATCTACCTAGGAAGACATTATTTCGAATAGTTGGTTATGTAGACACGTGTGTATTAATTCAACGTAACTGTCGCCATACATATTCCCAGTACAACAATAATATGTATGACATAACGTCTCTGTCACGTCTTGTGCGTGTCTGAAGTCTTACCTCTCAACTGAACGTGACTCGACTCGGTCTTCCTCTTGATATTCGTGGTCATCGTCTGATCTCGAATTGAAAGCGGGTCAGTTTGTGTACCGACTACCCTTGGCACTTATTTGGCATGCTGCACGTAGTTCACGTGCTAAACGTCAGGTCACAGGTGCACACGTCGAATTGACACTGCCAGGATTTTGCTTTGGAATGGTCCTACTCATGAGAAGAGGGTCGGTGGAAAATGGATAATGTTCAATACCAATAAATCAACTTTCCTTTGTTCCCTGAGTTTGACAATCTTAGGTCTACTAAATGGTGCCACCGTAGCCTAGATTCAAATTATTACAGGTGTGTGAAAAAAAACGATCGAAAGCATGTATCCTTATATGTGATGTCACCTATGAAAATAGGGGCTCGACCGGCATCTAACAAGCGTTGCACGTGCCACATGATTTTATTGCTTGTCAAGCACTGACATCCCACCTGTCTCGCGTATAGCAATGTCAACTTGAAATATTCGTTGTTGAAGTGCAGTTGTTTATAAGAAAAGACTGAAAAAGATGTTTCACATACATTTATGGATTATCAGTCGGAAGTATTTCTATAGATCCGTCTTGGACTAAAGGCCTTGCCGAAGGTAGGTACACTTTCTCTGAACCGTGAACATAATCAGCCCGTTTGCCATGACAAGATACTTTCAGGATGGAAAGGAAGCATTTGTTTACATCGCGAATAGAAGAACGTAAACCAATGACGTCCCAAAAGACTGCAATGTATTCTGGAGCAAGTTCATTGTAGCTCGAGCGGTATGCCACTTTCAGATGTGACATCCTGTAATAGACCACATTAATTCGTTGAGATGTGACAATGGAAAGCCAGATGCACAGAAAACATACACAAGTTTGTGAAAAAAAACATGTCTTCTCTTTATTGAGGCGACCTATACAAGATTACACACTGAAAACAGACCAGCCGTATAAATCCCGTCTGTTGTGTCAAACACAAATATTTGTGAAACCATTGCCATATAACATATGTTAAACAGATTTATAGGCACACTCCGTATATGCAATTTCTAAGCCTTTAAAGTGTATATCAGTGAGTAAAACTGTTAATAATAGAATTTTGTAATATACCATTGTAAATATCTACAAATAACCGGGTCCAGTGTAAAGACAATGTTCTCTGTATTAAAAATTGTATCAAAATAGAATGCTCCATGAAATGTTTCAGAAAAGATCATGAGAAACTCACATGTAAATTATACAAGTTGCAATATTTGGATATAAAATATTAAGTTACATCACAAACCACTGAATATGCGACACTCAGAAATTATTTCAAATACATTCATTTGTACATTCAGTAAAGGAGTACAAAATAGTACCATATACAGAAAACACGTTGAAATCCACGTAAGGTTACAATGTCATGGCATGTTATATGAAAGTTTAAATGTCTTCCAATTTGATCTTTAGTAAAATTATCAATTTCAAATCATTCACCGAAATGAAACGTCGTATAAAAGCCACATTATGCGGGTTTAATGACAACAGAATAAAACAGATGTATTGCGAAAGGGTTCATAAAAAAATATGTTTTCAATTTGTTATTTGTGTTATTTTCACTTTGAGATCAAGTGAACTGCATCCTTCCGCCATTTTTAATTACTTTCTACTTTGCCGACGTCGACGCCCGAGTCGTTTGACACGTTGACTGTGCTGGTGGTGTTTGTCTCTGCCGGCGACTTGGTTTCCACATTACCTGGGACACAGGTAGTAGCAGGGCAAGTCTTTACACCAGGTGAGCTACTGCTCAAAGAAGAGGGACTACTTTTTGGCCGCGCAACACCACCAGTATACGTGTCTTTATATGTTGTTCGGAAGCACATGCTTTTTAGCTGGTTGAGCCGCCGGTGCTCCGAAATGTGTCGACACAGTTCTGCTCTCTTCGTCTGCTCCCCTGTCAACACAAGACATATACTGATGGTAAATGAAAGGGAACAATAAACAATCCACCTATTTAACCTTGGCTTAAATAGGCGCCCATTTGCCTTTCTGACTGTATGTAGTACTACTTAATTCAGATTTATGGCTTTGGCTCAAAACAGTCACTTAATAACAACCTCCAGATTATCTGATCAAACAAATGCTTCAAACGTCTGTCCCTCATTTCAGACTATCATTATTTTTTTAGTGATATTGGGAAACTTATTCCGGAAGATTGTGTCTTTAGTCTTCATTGATGTACTAAATTTGTTCATTAATATATGTCAAGCTGTATATCAGAAACAGAAATAAACTGGTTCCTTTACAAGGGCATCACAGGTTTCTATCACTATCTGTCTTCAGAACGTCTTCATATAGGTTATTAATTGGTATGTTTCTATCTATAAAGTAAAGTCAGGATCGGATGCAGTAATAGGTAGAGTGAGTGAGTGAGTTGGGTTTTACGCTGCTTTTAGCAATATTCCTGCAATATCACGGCGGGAGACACCAGAACTAGGCTACACACATTGTGCCCAACCAACGCTTTAACCACTAGGCTACCCCACGACCCCCAGTAATGGGTTGAGGTCCATCATTGACAGGGTCTTGTTCTTTGATGGTTAAGCTGTTCATGGACGTTTCCAAGTTTTGAATCCAACAGATGTTAGGGAGTTGACAAAACAAAAGTCGTTGTCAATCTGGGATTCCAATCCTCGATCAGAGGATCACGGCAGCTTAGTTTGTCGGTTTGTTGTTTATGGCTGCACTCAGCAATATTCCAACTATATGGAGGCGCTCTGTAAATAATCGAGTCTGGACCAGACAATCTAGTGACCATCAGCATGAGCATCGATCTACGCAACTGGGATACGATGACATGCGTTAAACAAGTCATTGACCCTGAGCACTAGTCGCCTCCTACAACAAACATGGCTTGCTGAAGACCAATCCTAACATTTTAACCATGATCTTCGCGGCGGCAGCTAAGGGAGCTAACTGCAGTGCGGACTGCGGCACTCTTCTGCCTGAGAACTAAAATTGCGCAGACTATTTTTAAAGAGGTGAACGCGTTCTTTCAGCGTTCTTTCTGGGTACCTATGGTAAAATACGTATCTAGTTACCAACATGTGTCCTTGGGCCAAATAATGAGGATTGGGTGGTTAGATTATGACATGTCTTGGCCCAAGCAAGATGAGCATTTACAGTGTTCATCAGTCTTAGCAAAGTAGCCCGGCGTTGGTGATTATTTGTTGCTTGGCCAAATGCTGCTTTCTCACCCCGATAGTGACTCTGCTGTGTTGATAAATTGGCCATCTGCTCTTTGGGTGCTTCATACTCCCTCTTGGGGGTGTAGGGTGAGGCGGGGCGTGTATTCTGCCACGCCATATAGCTCCCTGTACACAGTGTTGCCGTCCCCACTAGAGTCACCATTCGCGTGCTTGATCATGTCCTGGCCGGCGCCACTCGGAACTCTAGGATAAATATCTACAAATAACCGGGTCCAGTGTAAAGACAATGTTCTCTGTATTAAAATTGTATCAAAATAGAATGCTCCATGAAATGTTTCAGAAAAGATCATGAGAAACTCACATGTAAATTATACAAGTTGCAATATTTGGATATAAAATATTAAGTTACATCACAAACCACTGAATATGCGACACTCAGAAATTATTTCAAATACATTCGTACATTCAGTAAAGGAGTACAAAATAGTACCATATACAGAAAACACGTTTAAATCCACGTAAGGTTACAATGTCATGGCATGTTATATGAAAGTTTAAATGTCTTCCAATTTGATCTTTAGTAAAATTATCAATTTCAAATCATTCACCGAAATGAAACGTCGTATAAAAGCCACATTATGCGGGTTTAATGACAACAGAATAAAACAGATGTATTGCGAAAGGGTTCATAAAAAAATATGTTTTCAATTTGTTATTTGTGTTATTTTCACTTTGAGATCAAGTGAACTGCATCCTTCCGCCATTTTAATTACTTTCTACTTTGCCGACGTCGACGCCCGAGTCGTTTGACACGTTGACTGTGCTGGTGGTGTTTGTCTCTGCCGGCGACTTGGTTTCCACATTACCTGGGACACAGGTAGTAGCAGGGCAAGTCTTTACACCAGGTGAGCTACTGCTCAAAGAAGAGGGACTACTTTTGGCCGCGCAACACCACCAGTATACGTGTCTTTATATGTTGTTCGGAAGCACATGCTTTTAGCTGGTTGAGCCGCCGGTGCTCTCCGAAATGTGTCGACACAGTTCTGCTCTCTTCGTCTGCTCCCCTGTCAACACAAGACATATACTGATGGTAAATGAAAGGGAACAATAAACAATCCACCTATTTAACCTTGGCTTAAATAGGCGCCCATTTGCCTTTCTGACTGTATGTAGTACTACTTAATTCAGATTTATGGCTTTGGCTCAAAACAGTCACTTAATAACAACCTCCAGATTATCTGATCAAACAAATGCTTCAAACGTCTGTCCCTCATTTCAGACTATCATTATTTTTAGTGATATTGGGAAACTTATTCCGGAAGATTGTGTCTTTAGTCTTCATTGATGTACTAAATTTGTTCATTAATATATGTCAAGCTGTATATCAGAAACAGAAATAAACTGGTTCCTTTACAAGGGCATCACAGGTTTCTATCACTATCTGTCTTCAGAACGTCTTCATATAGGTTATTAATTGGTATGTTTCTATCTATAAAGTAAAGTCAGGATCGGATGCAGTAATAGGTAGAGTGAGTGAGTGAGTTGGGTTTTACGCTGCTTTTAGCAATATTCCTGCAATATCACGGCGGGAGACACCAGAACTAGGCTACACACATTGTGCCCAACCAACGCTTTAACCACTAGGCTACCCCACGACCCCCAGTAATGGGTTGAGGTCCATCATTGACAGGGTCTTGTTCTTTGATGGTTAAGCTGTTCATGGACGTTTCCAAGTTTTGAATCCAACAGATGTTAGGAGTTGACAAAACAAAAGTCGTTGTCAATCTGGGATTCCAATCCTCGATCAGAGGATCACGGCAGCTTAGTTTGTCGGTTTGTTGTTTATGGCTGCACTCAGCAATATTCCAACTATATGGAGGCGCTCTGTAAATAATCGAGTCTGGACCAGACAATCTAGTGACCATCAGCATGAGCATCGATCTACGCAACTGGGATACGATGACATGCGTTAAACAAGTCATTGACCCTGAGCACTAGTCGCCTCCTACAACAAACATGGCTTGCTGAAGACCAATCCTAACATTTTAACCATGATCTTCGCGGCGGCAGCTAAGGGAGCTAACTGCAGTGCGGACTGCGGCACTCTTCTGCCTGAGAACTAAAATTGCGCAGACTATTTTTAAAGAGGTGAACGCGTTCTTTCAGCGTTCTTTCTGGGTACCTATGGTAAAATACGTATCTAGTTACCAACATGTGTCCTTGGGCCAAATAATGAGGATTGGGTGGTTAGATTATGACATGTCTTGGCCCAAGCAAGATGAGCATTTACAGTGTTCATCAGTCTTAGCAAGTAGCCCGGCGTTGGTGATTATTTGTTGCTTGGCCAAATGCTGCTTTCTCACCCCGATAGTGACTCTGCTGTGTTGATAAATTGGCCATCTGCTCTTTGGGTGCTTCATACTCCCTCTTGGGGGTGTAGGGTGAGGCGGGGCGTGTATTCTGCCACGCCATATAGCTCCCCCTGTACACAGTGTTGCCGTCCCCACTAGAGTCACCATTCGCGTGCTTGATCATGTCCTGGCCGGCGCCACTCGGAACTCTAGGGATGGCACGTGGCTTGGGAGGGATCGGATTTTGGTAATCCATCTGAAATAAAAATGAGTATTTCTCTACCGAAGTGTTTTTCAGCCCATACTTTACGCTTTGGTCAGTGCAACATCATAAACACGTGTTCTTTAGGTATTTTATTAACTTTATTTTGTTCTTATTGGGCAAAACAGAAGTATCCTCCACATCCTTATTCACAATTAATGATTGCACCCTGACTTAGAATTCTTAAGCTGTATTGCAAATTTAAACATGTTAGAGATATATGGTTTTATAAACGATAATGGAGGAATACTCGTATTTTCAAACACAAGTTGGCACACATTGAATTCTGCTTTCTAATACAATGTCAGATGACTGTTAATGGTCGATTTTAAATGATGCTGGAAATTGAGAAAAAACCAGTATTATGTACAATAGATGTCACGAGATACAAGAATGTGAATGAATAAAACATGCATTAATATTAACTCACTGACCGTATATGTAGTGTTTAAAAGCAGCTTGCCGGGAGGTAGCTTGTACTCGGCCTTCTTAGCCCACGTGTGGTTTTCTTTGGGCTGGACCGGCCACGACTTGTATGTTGTTGACGTCGTAGTCTCTTTCGCGAAGGGAACGTCGGCGACGACGACCGTGGCCTCTGGGGGTCGACAGCTCGGCTCCCGCCTCGCGTTCTTATGCTGCTTGTAGTCGGCCATGAATGTTGACACAGCCTCAAATGGTGGCTGCCTTTTTGGGGTAAGTATCTGGCCTCACTGGAACAAAATGCATTGGTATACGGAAATGTGAACACTTGGGCAGCCGAAATTCCGTTCAGGGTCGCGTTCCACAAGCGTTCTTAGTTTACGTAATGTACAGTTTACGTTAACGTATGGGAATTATGATCACCTTAGCGATTTGTGGAAAGGATCTCAGTAACACATTATCCTTACATCCCAGTATGAAGACGTTTAGAAAATATTAAGTGTTTTTAAGTCCCACTGCTCCGAGGATTAGAACGATATATTTTAGCGTAAAGTGTTCTATGATGTCTATATTGGCATAGTTCTAGAAACAACTGATGCTTACATAACGATTGTAAGGATCAGTGACTGGAGTCAGAATATACTAGGCACATAAAGAAACTGTGCATACAAAATTTAAAATCTAAATCTATCAAACCTGTGTAGACACATAAGGTTATTAAACTCAGAGATTAGTGACATGTATCCAACATGCATGCACGTGCCACGTTCCGTGACGTCAGTGGGTTCGTCCTTGAGACGTGCAATACGTTGTTGCACGTGCATTCCGGGAAAGAGAAACAGAGCAAATGAATGCCACACAATACTGTCACTTTGGAAAGCTCAACCCCTGCCCTTGCGATCGTTCAAAAAATTAAACGGCTATTGAAACGCATAGCATGCCAAGGCTCACGTCTGCACAACGTCATCAGGCCATTGGGATGGTCCGTGGGGCGATGTCTCAAGGACAAGTGGCTGCACATTTTCACTGCCACCGGAACACCATTTCTGCACTGGTGAGACGCTACCAGAACACAAATGACGTCATCGATCGGCCACGTTCTGGACGTCCACGTGTAACAACGCCAAGACAGGACAGATGGATAAGGGTGACCCATCTTCGCCACAGGTTTCAGACTGCAGTGATGACTGCCCGAACCATCCCAGGACTTCGCCGTATCCACCCCAACACAGTTCGACAACGTTTACGTCATCACGGGATCAGACCACGACGTCCCGCCATACGGCCTATCCTGACACAACGTCATCGAAAAGCTCGCCGAATGTGGTGCCGAAATCATGTCCGCAGACCCTTGTTTTGGTGGAGAAATGTTGTTTTCACAGATGAGTCCAGGTTTAACATTTCCCATAGTGATGGACGTCAACGTGCCTATAGACGCGTGGGAGAACGTTATGCACAGGTCTGTGTCTTGGAGTGGAATCGCCTTGGTGGTGGTTCCGTGATGATTTTGGGTGGAGTAACAGCACGCCGAAGAACACCTTTGGTGATTGTTCAGGGCAACTTAACTGGTGTGGGCTACAGGGATCAGATTCTTCGACCTGTGGCAATTCCTTTTCTGCAACGTCATGGCCCATGGTTAACATTCCAACAGGACAATGCCCGCCCTCATACGGCAAGGATTGCTATGGATTTCTTGCAACACCACAACGTTGACTTACTGCCTTGGCCTGCAAATTCACCGGATCTCTCCCCGATAGAGCATGTTTGGGACGACATGGATCGACGTCTACGCCGTCTTCCTCATCCGCCAGATAACGTCCTTGACCTTGCAACAGAACTTGAGAGAATCTGGCGTGACATCCCACAAGCCTTCCTTGCACGTTTGATAGGCTCTATGCGTCGTCGATGCACCGCTGTTCTCAATGCCGATGGTGGACATACCCGTTATTGAGCTTGTGACATGGTCGTTTGACCCCTGCCCCGCTTGTGGACTCGTGACGTCATTGTGATTGACTTTTCATTTGAAATTCTCCCGACTTGTTATGGTCTCATGATCCCTCCATTAAAGTTTATATGTACCTTTGACATTGTTATCATACTTATCAACTGGGATAATATTTTGACAATGCACATTTTCTTTATGTGGCTAGTATATATATGACATTATCTCTGCAACAAGCACATAAACAACACCGTTCGGTGAAGTGGTCTTACTATATAGCACTACGCCCTGTCGTAAGTGTAAGTTACAGTATGGGATCTGTCTAATTTTTTACCTCTAGTTCTCCATGACGAAGGGTTATATATGCCATGACGTCGGTGGGAGTTCTCCGATGTTATAGGGAGGGATATATAATTATGGAAGCAGAGACCAGCCAAGTGGCAAAGTTCGTTGCTTCTTCAACAGTTGTGAGGCTACAAGAAGCTAGGAACTGTAGAGACATCAACTGCATATGAGAAATTCCGTTCATTCTCTTCGGGTAATACCGTAAATTTGTACCTGCTCGATGCGTACGTTATAAAATTATAATTTTATTTCGTGAATTGAAATAAAGTCTAAACGTGATAATCTTTGGGGAGGCCTGAGATAACGTTTAGACTTTATTTCAGTTCACGCAAAAATAAGTACAGTAGTCCTACCGTTTGACACATCGATTTGTTAGAAGACATGACCATTCCTTATCAAGGCTCTCTATTGGAACAGATTTTGTCTGTGTCCTTGCAATCTTTTGTGGGTGACATAGACAACGAATCAATATGTACCTGACAGGCCACTACATCAGCACCTAGAACGGAGTTTTCGTCAATTTATGACGCGGGAGCCGCCATGTTCTCGATACTGGAGGTGAAGAACAACTGACGGGCTGACGTCATAGACGATAATGACGTCAGAGCATGGCGCTCTGAAGAGACACACATCGTCAGCGAGCACAGATTTGATCTGATTTGAACGAAATTGGTGTCACATTTTGCCATATAATTACTGTGCGACATTACTGTGTTCCTGAGTAAGCTAGTTGTCACTCCCGGATACACAGCTGGTCATAGACGTCGTGCTTTGCGTCGACATTCTCAGTCACTCGTTTGTTGAGTTTAATATATCTGACACATACTTTGTCCTGACACTCTATCCTGAAAAGAAAGCGGGCGGTGTAGCCTAGTGGTTAAAGCGTTCGCTCGTGATGCTGAAAACCCCGGTTCGATTTCCCACATGGGTACAATGTGTGAGCCCATTCCTGGTGTCCCACGCCGTGATATTGCTGAACTATTGAGGCGTAAATCTCACTGTTCAAAAAGAAAGTGAACATTGCACGAGAACTGCGCGTGTGTCGTTATTCTACAGTTAGAGTATCTAATTTAAACTTGTGGTTCGTCTGATCCAGATTATTTTGCTGATAGAGACATTTTATTAATGTTTTAAGGTTGTTAATATCAATTCATATGTAGACCAGTAAATGCAATTTACTTAAACTAAAGAAAATGTTTTAATGGAATATTTCCAATGGGACATTATAAAACAAAGTAGAGACGTACATTGAACCACTTTACGGTAGAATATATAAACCCAAACCCTGTGTGTATCATGTGGCCAGGTAGTTTGAGGTAAATTGTTTAATTTCAGTTCCGACACATATATGACCCTCTGGCGAAGCAAATGCGTTGTGTGTGTGTGTGTGTGTGGGGGGGCAATGAAATTGAGTGAGTGAGTTTAGTTATACGCCGCACACAGCATAATTCCAACTATCTTATTTCCTCTAATAAGCGCCGGGACTGGAAGTCCGTTGAAAGAATAAGCTCCCGGGCGCTCATTAGAGGAAATACGGTATATGGCGGTGGTCTGTAAATAATCAAGTCTGGTCCAGACAATCCAGTGATCAACAGGATGAGCATCGATCTACGCAATATTGGGATCCGATGACATGTGTCAACCAAGTCAGCGAGTCTGACCACACGATCCCGTTAGTCGCCTCTTACGACAAGCATGGGTTACTGAAGATCATTTCTACCCCGGACCTTCACGGGTCAATGAAATTGAAATAGCAGTCATGCAGGAGCTTATAGAAACTTTATCTTCGTAGCAGCAATCCCACGTCATGAACCACCTGTCTCATGACACCTAACTGCAGCCTAAATAAAGCTTTAAAATGTCCGTGATACAAAGCATGGTATGTGTGTGTACCAAAGCATGGTATGTCCGTGATACAAAGCATGGTATGTGTGTGATACCAAAGCATGGTATGTCCGTGATACAAAGCATGGTGTGTGTGTGATACAAAGCATGGTATGTCCGTGATACAAAGCATGGTATGTGTGTGATACAAAGCATGGTATGTCCGTGATACAAAACATGGTATGTGTGTGATACAAAGCATGGTATGTGTGTGTACCAAAGCATGGTATGTGTGTGTACCAAAACATGTTGTGGCTGCACATAAACTGCTCAAAAGAAGGAATCAGGAGTTCTGTAACCTCTTTTGAGTTGAATATATATTTACACAGATAACAGATCGCGTGCCACATTACAGGTGCTGTGAAAATTCATCTTAAATCTGCACCTAGCGTCCTTAATGTCCAGTAAACTCAAATGACTGATTTGAAGAAGACAAAGGGTGGTATTGGTGCAAATGAAACTGATAAATATGTATTTATGTAGGTTTTATGGCTTTTGTAAAGAAAGTAAATATTAGTGTCTCACCTCACCATACACGACACGGACGCGGCAGAAATGTACGTATGTGCTGCAATCTAGTATTGTCAATAGCTTTGGGGGGCAGCTGGCCTGTGAGATTTGAACAAAAGCGTCGTGATGGACAGTATAGATCCGTGTCTTCGAACACTGACTACGACAGCGGGCGAATGATTTACTTGTAGGTTTACGACCGTTCGAATATTTACCAATGTCAAGGTCACGTTCGCTGTAAGAAGCTGTCGCACTCACGGTGATCGTTATTGAATGGGGGAAGTTTTAGGACGCTCTATCACGGCAGATGAAGCAATTGTGAATTGACTTCACTCATTGTGCTCATGATGTTACTGGAACCGGGTCGTCCTCACTTGGCGAACGTGTTTTCATAATTTTGGCATAGAGGGAAGATTTATGCTATTAAAGGGCACACGTGCCACTTAAAACACTACCCTGTGATTTTTGAAAGTGGACCCTTAGTATTCCCTTGTCAGTACCATACCAGTGCTTGTCTGTTTTACACAGTATATCTCCGAGACATGCATCACTTCGGGCGTCCCTCACACTCTAAGCTGACAACTTACGTTATTTACTCAGATTATAGATTATAGTCAGCTTGTTAACATGTAAAAAGATCCAGACAGCCCCATTCAACGACCAAACCCAACCAAACCTAAACAATGGTACACATTTTATTTGAACGTAAGTCTTGATATAATTGATCAGTTGAAACAAGAGTGAGATTCTCTTTAAGATTTCGAAAGCGTTGACAGCGTTTCACCGTGCCAACCTATAGCTTTTCGACTGTCGTAAATGTGTATGTTAACGTATTGGACTTACGACAGACCAATAGCACTACGACAGCATTGAAACCAGGCACCTGCGTGTGCGTGTGAATTAATCAACAATTCGCACAGGCATTTGTCGTTTTAGTAACAAATTGGAATTGTGTGCCTTTTTGAAATTTTCGATTATAAAGACAAGAAGAGACAACATTTGGTGTTATTATAACTTATACTCTTGTTAGGTCACCAATTAATGGCTTCTTTGACATACGATATCGCGCTTAACACAGGAATGGCCTTTTAGGTAGCCATTGCGCAAGTCAAATTCTTAGTGAGACCGTATCCTCTGCATTATTGTCGATTGCATTGCACCGAAATGCGACAGGGATAGGATTAGTAAAGATGGCATTTCACGCTTCGTTTATTTACTGCTCTAAAGAGGGGCGGTGGGGGGGAGTCTAGCGGATCCAGTGTGTGTGTGTGTGTGCAGGGGTGCGCACCCCCACTTTTGTCCTCAAGTTTATTAAATAACCATTGAAACTCTCGAAAAAGATCCTTCCTTTCTACAAAAGCTGTATCCGCCCCTGCGGTTAAGCGTTTTTTCGTCACGCCCAAGACCAGGGGTTCGATGGGTACAGTGTGTGCAGCCCATTTCTAGTGTCCCCTCGTTACATTGCTGGAACATTTCTAAAACCGGCATGAAACCATACTTACTCACTACTCGAAAGAAGGTAAAGAACACAAGATTTTTCCATATTACCATTATCAATCTGTGACGACAAATTAACAATAGCCGTTTGGAAAACCGATGTCCTTTAGTGTCTCTTGAGAAGTACCTAGGCTTTTGATAAAGCAAATGACATACAATTCCATTATTTCAATCTGAACTCCTGATACCAGTAGATTCCCAGTCCTGTCACAGAAATAGCCTCGACGTCCTGTCAAAGACACCATGCACACGACGTTAATCTTAACCTTACCTATGGCTTTTCGTGGTGCCTTCGTTGTTGTCTTGGTGTAGTTTGATTTATACATGGTGGTGCTGTCGAACGGCCCGTCGGGCTGGATCTTGTTGTCATCCTGTATGATTAGAGACGGGCGTTCCACGTTCTTGTGCGCTGGGTAGCTGTCCTATAGAGAAACATGGTTTGGGTGTTGTTTACGTTATAGTAAGCGGTTAAATCTTTTAACAATGTGGCTTATTCATAATCGAATCTCGACCAGGACAACCAGTGATTGATAACATGAGCACACCCACTCAGCGGTGTACGATGACATGCAACCGACCAAACCTGGTGATATATTGTCGCCACGTGGGCGTGAAAATCAAGTCTGTGCACGCAGGGTGATATGACAGCCATTTTTGGAGTATGACCCAAAAAAATCAGAGGTACAGATAAGTTGCGTATCTGCGTAAATTACGCAAATATTTATGTGAAAACTCTATTCTGATTAAGTCTATTGCGTACAAGTACGCTTGAATTTATATAAATACTCATTGAATTTGATCATACATGCGTACACACCATAGCTTGCGTACAGGTGCATAGATAAAATAACAGGTATATTCAGAGGTTCTATTTCAACACATGAACTTGGCAACTTGCAGTCTTTCTTATAGTTTCTCATATTTTACAGATCCCAATTAAACATTTAAACTTTATTATATTTTTACAATTAATGGCAAATGGCAAAATACCCAATTGAGTTTGAGTGAGGTGGGTACAATTTATTTGGTTACTCAAAGGAAGACTAGGATACCCAACTGAGATGAATACAAGCGAGTACATAACGCAATGACCCAAAGAGTAGCTCTGAAAAAAACGTAAAGCGATCGTAAGACAATAAATCGGAACGTATTTTCAATAATATGAAAGCATTGTAAATACGCAGGAGAGTATCAACGTTATGGAAATTGTGAAAATATACTGATGGAAGGAAATACGTGAACGGTAATATAATGTAAAACGCGCTGGGATGAACCTCACTCTTGTTGTACCGCTAAGTGCCAGATATTTGATCGACCCGTGAAGATCCGGGTTAGAATTGATCTTCAGTGACCCATGATTGTCGTAAGAGGCGACTAACGGGATCGTGCATGCGGTCAGGGCTGCTGACTTGGTTGACACATGTCATCGGTTCCCAATTGCGTAGATCGATGTTCATGGTGTTGATCACTGGATTTTTTTTATCCAGACGCGATTATTTACAGACCGCCGCCATATAGCTGGAATATGTCTGAGTGCGGCGATATACAACGAACAAACCAGAGACTTATTCGGTAATATGTTATTAACAACACAATGATATTTTTCGGTAACTAAATTTTGAAAATATGAAAAATACTTCTGAGCACAGAAGTAAAAAATATGCAATATTTCTGCAGAGTTGAAGTATCAATTTTACACCGACAGCACCCAGAAAAAGAACAAAGAAAGACAGAACACTCAAGCACATATTTTCGTACCTGGCAGGTAGAGACATTATTGCCATCTGTCGCCTTGGAGACCTCAATACCTTCAACTGGCATGATGAGGGATGGCCGACATGATCGTGCTAGTTCCGCTTCGTAAGCCTCGTACGCACTCTGGTAAACAGACTGACCTCTGAACTTGACCTTCGGGGACTCGTAAACCGGGTTTGGCTTGAACGAATTGGTTGCTGAAAGTTTCTGGGAAAACATAGTACAATGAATGATGAATAATTCTTCTTCTTTTTTGAATAACCTTTTGCAAGGAGAAAAATGACAATTATTATTGATATACAACTTCTTTTATTCTGTGGAGGCTACGTTTCGACATAGATTCTAGATTGTCAACGACATTAGAATCTATGTGGAAACGTCGCCTCCACAAAAACAATCAGTTGTATATCCATAATAATTGTCATTATTCTTCATCAACTCAACTGCTAAAATGCTCACCAAAGAAACCTTTTATAAATTTAAAATGTCTATATCTTCAGCATAATTTGCTTGGTTTACTGTTTACATTTCTGCAGTTTAGCGTGAATGAATATGTTTGTGTTTAGTTTTACATGAGAAAATCCTGAAACCTCTTTTGTTTACGCTCATAATATACATTACCGATATTGGGCCCTTCACTATCCGAAGTGAGTGGCCATTCTTGTAACAGGGTTTCAGCAATAGCATATCAATATTATAAATTGAATAAATCCATAGTACAATGCGCGTCTTCACTATGCAGGTGGCTACCTGTTGTTACCTGTATATATACGCTACCCTGGCACCTGCACAATAAAATTACGTCATGTGGTTTGCACCTGCGCCGATCTTGGTTAAAATTGGTCTTCAGCAACCCGCGATTGTCGTGGGTTGCTGAAGTGGCGACTAGCGAGAAAGGGAGGTCGGGGGCCCGTTTCACATTGCGATCGTAGCCCTACGACTGTCGTAAGTCTATGTTAAAGTATAGGAGGTACGATCACCTTAGCGTTACGATCGTTATGTGAAACGGGGCTCAGGCTCGCAGACAAGCATGTCTTCGTAACCCATTTGTGTACATCCTCATTAAGTCAATTACTGGATTGTCTGGTTCAAACTCGATTATTTACATCACAGTGCTTGAATATTGTTGTGTAGTTAGTTAAAACATTCTAAAGTCAAGCGATTGCTGCCAGGACGACCGAGTTTAGTGTCCAACTTTACTGTTTGTCAAATATCTTTGACACAAAGAATGGCTCTGTTAATGGGAGGTAACCCCTCATACTTTAGATCTGCACATTTTCTTAACCACAACACACGAAGCGTCCTAAACTCGTCATAGATGCTTCATAGAGAGAGCGTGTTCTAAAGAACAGAAAAATATATACATGAATTCATGTGTTACGTTAAGTGGGAAATGACCAACTGATCCAGGTTAATGAAATTATAATTATGAAATCATGCTTCTTAATCCGTTCTAGTTCTGGCTTCACAAGATATTAATACTACTTCTTAGATGTGCCGAGCATGTTAAACGGATGCATCATGGCTTTGTATGAGTGTGTGGAGGGTCTTCATACAACATATGCTACTCAGCGAAGTTACAGAACACGCGATTCTTTCATCAAGAAGTAAATCCGCCGCGACGTCATTGGTGCACGACATTTCGTAAGTGTGTGAAGCGCTCCTACAATCACGTTGACACTGTATTTGTTGTTTCGTACCCGGCTATAGTCCGGCCTGGACCATACAATCCAGTGACTGATCAGCATCGATCTAGCTGGTATACGATGATGTCCCTCAACCAGGTCAGCTCACCATACGAGCACTGGTTGTTGAAGATCAATATTTACCTGGATTCTCACGGAATTAAACATCCCGTGCGGCTCACCTGTTCGGTATAGTCCGACCGGTATGTGGTCCTCAAACGGGCCTTGGGTCGAGGGACAATGTACTCATCTTTCTGCTTGATGGGTGCGCGCTGGAAAACATGACAAGTAATTGATGAGTTTATCTGTACCAACACTATGGATACTGAGTGAGTGAGTGAGCGAGTATGGTTTTACGCCACATTTTAAAACAATATTCCCACAATATCACGGCGTGGGACGCCAGTAATGGGCTTCACAAATTGTACCCATGTAGGGCATCGAATGTATGTCTTTGACGTGACGAGCTAATGCCTTAACCATTGGGCTACCCCACGCTTGCTCGGTGAGAAGGGAGTGTTAATGCTGCTTTAACAGCATTTCAGTTATATTTCACGGCGTGGTGACTTCACGTGGGGGGATAGCCCAATATATGGCGATGTAGACCTATAGGCCTACAGGATAACGATTGGGTGCTGATAGGAAAGGGCAAGAATGGGGAAGAATCTGCGGATCCTTGTGGTGGCGTGTGGTCCTGTACATAGAGCTCAGGTCACGAGTCAGTTGAAGTTAAGCAACGTCGAGCTCGGGTAGTCCTTGGATGAGTGACCGTGTTTGTTAGCTTGACTCCTGAGAGTTTCTAGGACTTCAGTCCTGCACCACAACAAAGCACATGTGATACATGTGGTCTCACCTTAGTCAAGTGAGTTTGTTCAAAATTGCCTCTGTTCACCCAGCAGAAAATGGGTACCAGGTTGGATGTGAAAGTGACTATAACCTTCTAGCGCCTAACAGGCAGCTTGGGTTATCCGGGGTAATAATAATCAGATTCTGATTAAGCGCCGCGAGTAATCACTTGGTGTTTGGAGACTGTGCGCTATGGAAGATGACTTATTATTATTATTAAGGGGGACAAATACACATCTAGGTAATGTGCATATTGAGTATTTGACTATCACCGTCCTGACTAAGAGAAATCGGCTCGAGAAAGAATAATTATCGTACCTTGTTTTGCTCTCGAACATATTCTTCTCGTGTGTGTTTCAAAGTACACATATATATCATGACTTTCAGAGAGCGAACACTATACCCAATAAGTTATATAACACTCATTTCAAATTTAAGCCTGTCTCTGGTTGTTTACCTAAAGAAGAAATATCAGTCACGACATACACTAATCCTTGCCTAGATAATCACACAAACACTTCAACTGGCATGGTTTCAACTCCGAATTACGTTATTAGTTTCTGTTCAGACCAACTTTACAGGGAAACAAAAGGTTGTATATTAATATATTATGAAACAAACCTCCCTCCTGTTTAGTGTTCGCTCCAACACCTAGCATATTTCATTGATAAACACGCTGACCCCGATCCACAAATTGCGACCCCGTGTCCTTGAATATGTAAAACGAACTCCTGGTGTATAGTCAGAGAATACAGAATATTGTACAAATACGCTCCCATTTGACTTAACGCACGATTTTTCAAGCTCTTTCAACAACACGGCAAATAGTGCAATGTCTAGATTATCTTACCTGTGTTACAGAAACCTCTGTAATTCACACTGAAATCTGCCCCCGTGTTAGTGTAATGCAGGAAATATAGATTCCGTTTAGTCTTTGTTTGCACAAGCCCACCTGGCGCCTAAAGCGGCACAATCGATACTACGTCATTGAACACCAAGCTGTGCAAATTCAGGAAATATTCTGTTTTGGAGAAGAGGAGAAACTAGTCTCCCACACATGGATAGAAAAGTAACCTTTTCACTTTTCTTTCTATATGTCTGTAAACATATACTTACTTCCCTGAAACAAGGAAGTCTAGGGCTAGGACCGATATCTGGGAGTGGTGGTCTTTGATAACAATTGTTAGTTCACTCCAGAGAGGCTGGTATACAGGTAGCACTGTGACGTCTGATGACTGTCCGATAACGAGGGCAGATTTTATACCTGCTCATGTTAAATTCACATTATTGGCGTTATCTTCATCTTGAAGGATGGTAAATATTATAACGAAAACACCGGGTGTTGAGCGTGTTTTCTGCAATATGACACCAGTGGATACAGTCATATTACACATGGACTGGCCAAATGGGGTTCGTCTTGTGATAACGTTACATATATTGACACATGACACTGTTAAAAACCGGTGTTGTTTCTTCAAATATCACATTTTATCAAAAGAAAACGTTAAAAAAGAAAAGTAATAAAGCTTTCTGTTTTTGTAAAAACAATCCATTGCTTTAGAATTATGAAAAAACGGCAATGTTGTTTTAATTTTCGGCTAAAAGTAGTTTCAAAAGATTGATCGCGAACAGTATCTTGATCGATACATTAAAGTGACGTGACGTAACGCAAAAACATCTAAGAAATATAGTTGACACGAATACGGCTTCATCAATACACTCGGTATGCTCTCTGTCATGTCGCCTACCCAGTGCATTATATGTGACCCGTGAAGGTCCGGGTTAGAATGTGCATTCAGTAACCCATGCTTGTCGTAAGAGGCGACTAACGGGATGGGTTGGTCAGGCTCGCTGACTTGGTTGACACATGGCATCGTATCCCAATTGTGTAGATCGATGCTCATGCTGTTGATCACTGGATTGTCTGGTCCAGACTCAATTATTTACAGACCGCCACCATATAGCTGGAATATTGCTGAGTGCGGCGTAAAACTAAACTCACTCACTCGCATTATATGTACGTCCTTTGTAGAAATGAGACATACACTGGATTACTGAGGCTGGTAGTTTGTGGGGAACGAGAAGTATAGCTGCGCACATGATTCCATAGCGTTGTTATTGGTGGGACTGGTCATAACTGTCTGTATGCTACCGGGGCTGTGGGGTAGCCTAGTGATTAAAGCGTTCGCTCGTCACGCCAAGACCCGGGTTCGATTCCCCACATGGGTACAATGTGTGAAGCCCATTTCTGGTGTTCCCTGCTGTGATATTGCTGGATTATTGCTCAAAGCGGCGTGACACCCAACTCACTCATTCACTGTATGTTACCCGTTATGAAGTGAAAGTTTCGGCATCAGAAATATATAATAACAATGCGCTTAAAATACATAGGCTATAGAAATACGGGCAATTGCTATCTTGCCGCTTGAGAACCATATCTGCATTTGGCATGCCTACATGTAAAGCCTGTACAATACAGACAACATGGCTAATACATGACTAGTTTGCTGTAAACCACATTCCTACTTTGCTTTCTTTCACTGAATGGGTGACGAAGTCCTTCCTGTAGAGCGACTGCATGTCCGTGACGGCGTTGGTCTCGTGGTTGGCCGTCACAGGCTTCAGGGGATCCCTCGGGGGCTGGAACTCCCACCACTTGTACGCCTGTCACAGACAACATAGCTCACAGAATAATTGTCTTGTCACCCTTTGTGTCATTTCTAACAGACTGCTCTCAACACTTGTGTCAGATCTAACACACCGCCCTTACATCCTGTGTCATATCTAACACACTGTTTACATTCCTTGTGTCAGATCTAACACGTTGTCCTCACCCCTTGTGTCAGATCTAACACGTTGTCCTCACCCCTTGAGTCAGATCTAACACGTTGCCCTCACCCCTTGAATCAGATCTAACACGTTGTCCTCACCCCTTGAGTCAGATCAACACGTTGTCCTCACCCCTTGAGTCAGATCTAACACGTTGTCCTCACCCCTTGAATCAGATCTAACACGTTGTCCTCACCTTGAGTCACTAACCCTTGAGTCAGTCTAACAAACCTCAACCCTTCTGTCAGATCTAAAAACCGTTCTCCTTGTCTAACAAACCTTTCAACTCTTGAGTCAGATCTAACAAACGTTGTCTTTTCACCCCTTGTGTCAGATCTAACAAAAACCTTTCAACCATGTAGTCAGATCTAACAAACCTTTCAACCCTTGTGTCAGATCTAACAAACCTTTCAACTCTTGTGTCAGATCTAACAAACCTTTCAACCCTTGTGTCAGATCTAACAAACCTTTCAACCCTTGTGTCAGATCTAACAAACCTTTCAACCCTTCTGTCAGATCTAACAAACCTTTCAACCCTTGTGTCTTTGTGTCAGATCTAACAAACCTTTCAACCCCTTGTGTCAGATCTAACAAACCTTTCAACCCTTGTCAGATCTAACAAACCTTTCAACCCTGTGTGTCAGATCTAACAAACCTTTCAACTAACAAACCTTTCAACCCTGTCAGATCTAACAAACCTTTCAACCCTTGTGTCAGATCTAACAAACCTTTCACCCCTTGTGTCAGATCTAACAAACCTCTCAACTCGTGTGTCAGATCTAACAAACCTCTCAACCCGTGTGTCAGATCTAACAAACCTCTCAACCCGTGTGTCAGATTAACACACCTCTCAACCCGTGTGTCAGATTAACACACCGCCCACACTCCTTGTGTCAGGTCTAACCTTCACTCACACACGACCATTCGGCGTTATACAACACTCATCCCTTCCCTTCAAGTGGGTACATTGACATTGCTGTTGATGCATCATATTGTGTATTGTCCAGAGTGAAGTATCGGCATATTTAATACATTACTGCAACATCTCCCGGAACTCAGTGTGGCATGAACAGTTGAACCGATCTGAACCAATATACCCCAATCTGACACAACACGTGTCTCGGGTCACGTACATGTAACTAAACTAAACAAACAACGTTGTTATGACATCATACTTTACCTCCTGATATTCCGAGCGGAAGTCTGCCGGATGGGCTTTCTTGTAGGCCTTCGACAGACGCCATGGAACTGGGTTGACGATCCGGTTGTGGAAACTGCAGGAAGATGGACAAAGAGGTGATCAGCCTCATGTTGTTAGTCACAGTCACGTACATAGACACACGTATCACTAGACTAACAACTAGTCTCTGAATGAACATATTTTACTGAAAAAAGTTCATAGTAAAAAAAATTATATATAATGAAAAGGAGCCCTGAGACTAATCTAGACTTGCCACATTTTCTAGACTTGTGTGGGCTTTCTTGGATATATTTGCTTCAGGGTCTGTATGACAGACTAACGTATCACTAAAGTAAAGAACACGAGTATAATCCGTCGAATGCGTGAGTAAACTGGGTTTCATTCTGTCACGGCCGAAACAGATGACATCATCTATATCTCCAGGGCCAGCAATTCGGGAAACCTACAATAACTGTTAGTGTTTGTTTCCCGGAATGCGACTCCTGCAGATATAGAGGATGGACAGATTACTGTCAGGAGTGATCCCAAAGAGAGGCAAGATCGTAAGCGAGCACAAATTTGGCAAAACCTTCAAGCGTGTGTATAATGGCGTCTGACAAACCAAGCATCATTATCAAGATCCTCGTATAACAGGGGACGCAACTGCGTGGTAAATTGAGGAGCTTCATCTAGAACTGTCTGCAGATGTATGCATAATTCATTTGACCCATATATATGATTACTGGTAATGTAAACTCGTAATGTAAAAGATACTTTGACCTTGTTTTTTTTTATCTAAAACATCTTAAATAAAAGGATACACACTTTATTTCCGCAAAATAAAAGCGTTGTGGTGCCGATTGAAATGGTCTGTCTGCCTCCGTACTCAGCATGTATACAGTGCATATTTACCATGCCCGCACATCCCTGTTTTACGTGATGATGATGATGATGATGATGATGATGATGATGTTGATGATAATGATCTACCATCACACTTTTCCTAAGACTGAATATTTCCTAACACCAATGTTTCAGGTTTGTGGCCCTTTATTTATCTATACTGTTGGGCATTGTATGTTCCTTCGCATACTATGATTGATCTTACTGCAGGGCTGTTGTATGTGGCTTAAAATGGAGGGTCTGGCTCTATTTTCCTTTTACTTTGAATTTTATAAAAAGAAGTTTAATATTTAGCATGCGATCAATAATTATTTACGCACTAGAATGAGGTATCTTTGTAAAATTAGTTGGACATAGGGTAGGATGTGAATTTTATGTTCGACGTAAACGGCAGTTGTCAGTGAAATTTATGAGATAAATCATGGTGAATTATTAATGACTGTATCAGGGCGAGGCAAACCATCGATACGTGTTCCGACCTGTATCAGCTCCACTTTTTCCCCAAAGGTGTTGGGTGGGGGCATACTCTGTCCTGATGACTACAGTGCTGGACAAAAGAAAGTGTCCCCATGTTTCATGGTAGCTCACATGAAACCAACAAAACATGGTTTTGTGATGGTGATGTATTTCATACCGGTATCATACCCGAAAGTAGATATGACATGCGTCAACAGGTGACGTGTACATGACACCTGAAGGGATCACATAGGGTTAGGGTTAGGGTTAGGGTTAGGGTTAGGGTTAGGGTTAGGGTAGGGTTAGGTTTAGGGCTAGGGTTAGGGTAAGGTTTAGGGGTAGGGTGACGTGACACTAAACAATATGGCTGGTAGGTATCTGGTATTCTGTAGGTGTACCAATAAGTCTTGCAATTTCACACTACATAGTGAGTGAGTGAGTGAGTTTAGATTTACGCCGCACTCAGCAATATTCCAGCTACATGTATATGGCGGTCTGTAAATAATCGATTCTGGACCAGGCAACCCCGCGATCAACAGCATGAACATCGATCTACGCAATTGGGAACCGATGACATGTGTCAACCAAACAAGCAAGCCTGACCACCCGATCCCGTTAGTCGCCTCTAACGACAAGCATGGGTTACTGAAGATCAATTCTAACCCGGACCTTCACGGGTCCACTACATAGTAATGAGCAGAATGAATGTGACTTTTTAAGTGTATACTGTCTTTTGAATAGCAGGTTATGTACATGTATCTCCGGAGAGTACCATCTCTTAGGGTTGGGCCATTTTCCACACAGAACCCAGATTTGTTCTGAATTAAATGTCTATGATAAAACGTGAACCGTGAACCCTGTAGATGGTACAACACCATATCCTCTGTACTCCGAGCAACCTACCACATTTGTGTTTCCGCTCCCAGATCGCCGCTTGCCGGTTCCTCTTTCATTTATAACGGGAGAAGGGGACTTTCATTTGGGATTTGTATTAGTTCCTACTCCTCCATTGAAGCCGTTGCGAGGTGCCAACTGTGACGTCATGGCATTGATTCGTGTACATTTCCTAGCGACAATGGGTATAACGTCATTGATTTGTGCAACCTCAGTATGACGTCACAACAGCACATAAAATCCAACGTTCTCATTCGTGGCTTGTGCCCATACTTCGGCCGATTGATAACTTGGCATAAAATGTGAACGAATTTTCTCTTGCTTGTAAAACGTTTATTCGGAAATCAGAACAGCCAAAAGCAAAATTTTCTGTGCGTTTTACATGTTGTCTTGCATACTTGTATAGATATGCTAATAAACCTGGAACATTGAAGTGCATGATAGTATGTATTTATTCACCAAAGTCACTGTATAGCTAGCTATTCGTACAACTTCGAAGACAGAATGTGGAACCGTACAACCATTTTGGATTTCAGCAATTTTGTACATAAAATTAGAACATTCTGGACAGCATCATACTTTTGACAGTCATTAGGATTGGCTTGCTCTATCCATTCCAGTTCAAGACCCGTGAAGGTTCGGGTTAGAATGAACCTTCAGGAACCCATGCTTGTCGTAAGAGGCGACTAACGGGATTGGGTGGTCAGGCTCACTGACTTGGTTGACACATGTCATCGGTTTCCAGTTGAGCAGATCGATGCTCATGCTGTTGATCACTGGATTGTGTGGTCCAGACTCGATTATTTACAGACCGCCGCCATATAGCTGGAATATTGCTGAGTGCGGCGTAAAACTCAACTCACTCACCCATTCCATTTCAAAAGGGCGGAGTGATTAGTACTATCAAAATGCATGCAATCAACAGTAGCTTTACAAGGAACATAAATTATTATCTTGAATTTGATTATTGATAACCATCTCGTTTCATGACAAACTAGATAACAAGTTAACTTTGAGGTCCAGTAGTACGTGTTGTATCAAGCTGTACCAGTTCCTGTATGCCAGGTAATTCAACAAAACAACCTCCCCAAACTTCTGCTGCCTATTTTACAGTTGTCTTTATAAAGTGATATAAACTACATGTTCAACAAGGCTTCACGGAAGTACATAGCGGCCATGGGCGCCGCAATTCGATGGGGCACACCAGAAACCTGTGGTCGTGGGTTCGAATCCCTGTCCGCCCTGATTATATTTCGAGGTATCTCAGCACCATACCCCTGCTCATGGGTTTTGAAGTTGTAAACGGCTGAGACCTGCATCACTCGGTTTCTCCCCCACCCCCATTCACCACCATTCACCTGGACGCACCGTGATGTAACTAGAATACTGTTCAAAGCAGCGTAACACCAAACTCACAAGATAGTACAGTAAAACCAGAAATTATTGAGAATTTAAAGATTGTAAGTTTTTATTTTTTTTCACTCATTACTCACGTATTAAATGTGATTATTAGCAGAACATAACTCCAGATTCAAAGACAGGTGAACAGTTAGTATTTTGTCAAGTCACCATGGGAAGCAATGCAGGCTTCAATGCGGCGGGGCATACTACTGATCAAAGAAGTTAGAAAGTCCTGGACCATGCTGATACAAAGGTTTTTCAGTTTGTTTGGTCCAGAATTTCAGTGTATTAGGAAACAACCACACAGAACTTTCATCTGAGAAAATCACATTGTCCCAGTTAAAATTTCTATGCTGTAAGCACCAGTTCAACCTTCGCTCCTTTTCTTCAGGTTTCATGATCGGTGATGGAATTCCTCGACTTTTCTGCCAACCCATTGCATGCAGCTCAGTTCTAATTGTCTCCTTACAGACAGCCACACTTCCTCTATCAATCATATCCAGCCGTAAGTTTTCTAAACTCCTTCGTTTGTTTTTAGAAACAAGAATACCAAGCCGCCTCTTGTCACCGACAGTCAATTTTCTGGGCCTACCTGCGCCTCCCTGGTGCTCAATGCCATATCCATTTGCAATATTTTTCAAAACACTATAAACAGTGGACAAAGGGATGCCTGTTCTACTTGAAATCACTTTAGCTGATCTGATGTCCTTGCTATAATACTCTAAAATCAACTTCCTCTTCTCTAAATCATCCATACTGAGGATCACTGAAAATGTCGTCTGCTAGCAAGTAAACAAAGGGGGATAACTCTTCACAAACTAATGAAAAAGGATTAACGGAGTTGTCTCTCTTGAATGAAACCAAGCACTTGATAGCTGTCAAGGTTGTTTATACTAGAAATCCAATTAAACATATTCCTAAAATTCTCAATAATTTCTGGTCATACTATATATACTTAGGTTTACTCATTGAAGATTCCATTTTACCACACCATATGTTACACCGAGGTGATTGGGGGTATTTTCATGCTCAAAGTGTTGATTATTCTCATTCAAGTAAGCTACCAGGGGTTTAGTATACCTTGAAATTTTGCTAGTAATGTCTGTTCCCGGTCTTCTAGTTGAGTCAAATAGCTGTTAAGATCTTCACATATAAATTCTACACGTGGTGCAGCAACAACGTCTGTTTCAGATAATGTCTTAATTGCCAATCGGCGGAAATGTGACATGGTAGTCATTCCTGCTTGACAACGCTACAATAATCTGTATCGAAACGTCGGACTCACGAAATAAAAGAAGTTGTTATCCATAAAGTTTGGTCAATATTGATAATTATTTCATATTACGTCGTGATCTTCTTGCAAAATTAAAAGCAATGGTTGAAGGGTATATTGGATATATTTAATGTTCAACTACATAGATTATGAATACGATAACAGGATATATATTATTTTGTTCAACTATATAGATTATGAATACGATAACAGCCAATCCGTCAATATACACGGCGCTGTCCGAAGTTAAGCTGACGGAGTGGTTTATTTGCCTTTATAACTGAAGTTTCTCATGTCTTATATATTAATGTATATTCATAGTAATATACAGCTGCACGTATAAGGACAACGGCAACTTGCTGTGAAGGATTGTGTCCCTTTGTCGTCTCAGGATCCTCTGAACTTGAAATCGACTGGAATCCGATATCCGCCAGTTTACGATCGTGTGTGTACGTGTACAGGTCGTCGTTCTTGTGTTCAGAGTGATATATGTTTTTGAATTAAACCTGCACATCGTGACAAAAAATACAAATGTGCTATTGAAAGCGGGTTAACATTCTTGTTGGGACATGTATTGGCAGGGGTGGAAATAAGTTTAAAATTGCTAGTGTACTCCGGTACAGTGGCACATGTAAAGTCACTTGCCCTGATTATTTTCCCACTATACCAACCGTTTTCTTGTTGATTTTTAAATAAACAACATAATAAACATTGGAAAGTCAACTGGACACCGGTACAGTGTGATATACAAATTTGCTTGCCCGACAGAAAAAAACACTGGACTCGGACGTCGGGCAATGGGTTATTTCCACCCCTGATTGGTAGTACATCTCGAGGTCTGGTATCAATTTCTATCAAAATGCAATTAAATGTCTGGAAACGGTATGTTTACTTTGAAACAACACGGAAATCAATAATCTCGCACAAAAACAGAACTGTATTAAAAGAAGGATAACACTGATCTTGACGATATCAGATTGAGAAACGTTTTCACCCGCAATTAAAGAGACAATGGATCAATTATCCCCTTTCATTGAGAGCCGGAGGTAAGCATCACTCCGGTGTTAGAAGTAGACGCGGCGAACATGAAACACGGACTTAAGTAGCCTAACAATTGAGTTCAATTTAAATTCCATTAAAATAATTAATCGTGTTAAATTGTACAGGATTAATTCAATGTACTCTTCATTACGATGCTCGAAAGATCAACGTTTGTACTTCAGATTATGTCGACTAAGTGCTAAAAACACACGCGACCATAAATCCGAATAAATGTAATTAAACGTTTAAGAACCTCGGTGCTAGACAGTTTGAAACAATACTGTCTGCAGAGTCATAATACGTATGAAAAATATGCTTTTGTGGGGAGGATGCCTTGGCAAAATACTGACTCTACCGGTGCGAGTGATGTTGTGAGGTTTTGCTCAGTATTTAGCGAATCAGGGGGCCTTGTTTTCGGAGACCTAACCCCAGACATGTAATTACGTTATATGATGGGTGTAAGTGGAATTATGATGGGGAAATTGGGCAGTTTAATTTGGGAAAAATTAAACATTCCTTTAATTTTAGAACACCTATGAAGCGGATCCAAATATTGAACTAACACGTTTGTTTTATGGGTACTGATCAAAGGGACGGTTATTTTAGTTTTTCATTATGGCCGTCGGTTACAGTTTGTAGTATGAATTATTTATATGTTAGGATGATAAAATTTAAATTACACTCTTGGTGTGAAGTAGGTTGAATCAAAGGATGGGTCAGACACCGTCAATGGCCACTTTTAAATTCTAATAAATTTGACTCAGTTTACTTTCTGTAAAAAATGTTCTTACAAATTGATTGAGAGATTCCCCCTGAAGTGAAATTTACGAAATTATAGCATTTTTATTCAGTCTTTCGTTAACTGTGTACAGTTATTTTGTTGAATACGCAAAGTCGATAAATAATCATTAATATTTGGAATATAACTGTGATTACCTTCCTGCAGTAATTACATGTATACAGTCCTATTTGGTTTACATTGCAAGATGACTGTTCAACGCAATTGGTCGTCAAAGCTTTAATTAAATTATTTTTTTTTAAAACAACAGAACAATGTTAAACACCAAAGGAGATTCAATTACATTCCGTATATAACTGCAATATTTCCACAATCATATTTTGCCTTATTTCGAAATCAACCTAAGTTCTAAACTCCCATATAGAAGACGTAGTATGGAAACAAATATTACCGACAAGGTATCCTGATATTGTCAAGGCTCATTTACGTTCCCGGAAGTTTAGAATCATATCACTAACACAACACTTTTGAAGACATGACACTTGTACGTAGCGTGTGTGTTCAGTGATTGACAGTGACAACACTGAAATCGACACTACTCACATGTCAATGAAATCGAGCAGCTCGTCACTTGTCAGCGGAGAAGGATCTCTGTCAAGTACTAACATGTTGCTTCACTAATTATGAATCTCACTAATTGCAACGTACACGGATTATCGAAACTCCATCGGTGGGAATTAAGATGCAAGATCGCTATGTGATACGATTTAGAATTGTCAGTGTCAGAGTTAAGTAGTTGATATCGTGTTGAGATCTGATCGGAAGTGTGTAGGAAATTAGCGTCAAGGATTTCAGTAATATTCTCGTTCTCACTAGGTGTCGAAGTAGATATTTGATCCAACTAGAAAACCAATGTTATTTTTCCGTTCATTAATTACTTTTGTTGAAACTGTTCTTCTAAATCTACTGACTGAAGAATACTTGAATATTGCGAATTTATGTCAAGTGTTTTAACCCCGTAATTAGCGCTCGTGACTCTGGTATCTATCTAAGCATTATCTAACATAAGCAATACTTTAGTATTTTTTCCCTCGCGAATAATTGTATTATAAAACCAAGTACATCAAAATAGACTCTGAAGTCTGACCATTTGTAAATGGTTTGGCATACAGACCCTGAAACAAATATACCCAATGCAGCCCACGCAAGTCTAGAATATGTGGCAAGTCTAGAATACCAGTTTCTGAAAATGAAGAAAATCTCTGGGCTCCTTTTTAATGTATTTTATTTTAATTTTAAAAAAAGTCTGTAAAAAATGTTCATTTCAGAGACTAGCTGTTAATCTTAAGTTTAAACTATGCTATAATTAGAGAAATGAATGTATTATTATAAATAGATAAAACTTTTCCTTAACCTAACCATTATAGCGGTAAATTCAGAAAAAAATCAGGCCGTTCCTTAAAAAAATGCCATGTAAACAAGAATGTCATTAACTTCACACTTTTTCTGGAGTGACTGCGGTTGTCTTTTAAAAACTTTGACACCATTTTGCCCCGAACAACAAAATAATCAGCTCCTTGAAGAAACAATTAATTTACAACACCACCGCCTTGTACTCCCAACATCAGAGAGGCTTCCACAATGTCATCGGAAGCCAGTACAAGGGTTTTCAAGACGCCTGCACTCATATAGGCCCACACTGGTCAAAACAATCAACAGTTACAATGTAAACAAGCTTCTCGTGTCGGATATGGATGATGAGAAAGGACAAGTGTAAGGTCCAAATATAGGACATTTACAAATGGTCATTAAACGGTTTTCCTGTATTGGTCATTTCCTATGTGTTCCGCGGTCAAGAGGACACCGGACGCTATATGGTGGTCCACGGCAAGCTGCACGTGCTGTGTATTAAAAATGGGAATATGAGGTTATATGAAAGATGAGATGGTGATTTTCCTGGTAAATAAGGTGAAGACTTGAACAGAATACCGTGAGACGGTATACGGTTTAGAACCAGAATCGTGAGAACCGGTATGTCAAATCTGTGTGAGTTGGTTTTTACGCCTCACTCAGCAATATTCCAGATATATCGCGGCGGTCTGTAAATAATCGAGTCTGGACCAGACAGTCCAGTGATTAACATCATGAACATCGATCTACGCTATTGGGATACGATGACATGTGTCAACCAAGTCAGCGAACCTGACCAACTGATGCCGTTAGTCGCCTCTTATGACAAGCATGGGTTCGTGAAGACCAGTTCTGACCGGGATCTTCACGCCTTGCACCGATGTGAGGACAGAACCCAGGTCTTGGGTGTCAACTGCAAACGCTTTATCATCTCAGCTACGTCACTACCCATGTCTTTAAAAGAATTTGTGTTCTGAGTTTCATTTTGTCTTTTGATGTAATAACTGAACATATATAGATGCAATATACGATAGAGGACAGCTTAACACATACTCATGAGATACACGTTTTGATTTTAAGGGGCGAAAAGTAAATACAGGTAACCCTGAAGATTATTGTTGACGACACATTACAAAATAAGACCGGCGAGTGTAGCCAAGTGGTGAAAGCGGTGTACGTCTGGGTTCGTCTCTCTATATCGGTTAAGTCCTATCTTGCTATATCTGTCCTGATAATGGGCGTAGTGCCATACTGAATAATGTCATGAAAATGTCTTATACATAGGTATGAATCAATCGGGAACGGGTTTTGTGATGCTTTTGTTGAACTAATAACCTACTAATATTTAAGTCATCTGAACCTAGTGAGAGTTTTAACCCCGAGCCCACTACAACGTGATGGATATGTAGAAATCTACATGGAAACACCTGCAAGGCGTCTCTAACTGCAATCAATCTCAAGTTGTTATCCATGTACGTTTTCATACTGAAGATGGGCAGTAAACTCTGACTCGAATATTAATGAAAATATCTGGATACAAAACGTTTACTTTGCCAATGTGTAACCTCACTAATTAAAAACTGGATTTTTAATTTAAAACAAAAATCAAAATAAGTCTATGCTGATTTTGGATGTACCGTGGCAGATATAGACATATCCTCGATGCTGATGATGTGGAGATTGGGTTTAAACGTATTTATTCGTGAAACGAATGGATTGGCAAACAATCTACAAGCTTATTAATGCAGCTCCAATACAATTCATAAAAGGTAAATAAACCAAAATTATCCTACAGGATGCTGGTAATCACATGACAAACCACAAGGTTAATGTACAGTCAGATGATAGTTAATAATTCAACAGCAATTTCATTATTACAACCGATATATTTCTTAAAGCTAATAATTCTTCAACCATATTTGGTACCAAATCTACAAGAAGCAGTGATGAAGAGGTAAACTGATTTTAAACTGATTTGGAGATTTAACGTGCGTTTTCCGACATAATGCATATTTCGCACATGGGATATATCCCCGTACATACAGAGTATATATATCTACCTATGGCTGTAATACACAGCATACATTTAATCAGTATAATGGTTTCTACACTTGAGCATACTTGAAGAGGCCACTTGAATATGCCAGCACCTTATCTACATTCAATATAGATGTAAGTCACGTTAGACGACATATTAAAGGATAATACGCAACATGTGTTGAGGACGTTGTACAAATGAATCGTATTGTGCGTATTATGCAGAACTGTAAACATTGACGGAACCTGCAGATTACGCTGCTCTGAAATAGGTTTAATCAAAGCCGATTTTGTGATTCCACTGGATCCCATAGGTAAATATGTACTCTAGTATCAATGTGACTAGTGAAGGCGTTTTGTTGCATTGCGTTGCATTACCTCACGGCCCAGGTAATATCGTTAACTATTGAATGGATGACCATGAGCGGCTTGAAAGAAGAAATCCAATCTTGTGACATGGGTTTGACACGTGCTTGAAGCAGATCATCCCTTCTTGAACCAAGAAGTCATTATGATTGACTAAAGAACAAGCTCCAGAAAACAAACGTTTTTAATTTCAGCCTCTTGCCAAAAACCGCGGGGAAGGGTCACTGGGGCGTGGAGCTACTGGTAGCAGGGCAGTGCTAAGAGGGGATGTAAATATTGCGTGCTGTTGGCCGTTAAGTGATTCTTTCATTCATCAACTTACGCCTTTACATAAACACTAAACACGGGGTGAAAGGATCGCTTAATGAAAGAATTATCAAGAATTAATCAACCCATTGAATTGCATGTCGCAGCTGTAGAACTGTCAAAACATCCCCAAAATCCGCAAATTGGATACGGGAGGCTTGGATCACACTTACTCCTGCCCATTGTGTGTCTAGTTAGGCTAAGCCCCTCCTTAACAATGATCCCAACAATGCTTCCATAAAGACTAATTACTTGTCCATTGTCTTAAAGAACACGACTCCCCGGGTGTGAAGTCCACCCGTATTAAGGCTCTGGTTGGAGGATTTGAGTATATAAGGTCAAGGAAGAGTTGACAGAGGCACTTCAGCCTTGGCCTTCTCAGTGTACACATCTACCTGTATATAACACACGCTTGGATTTCTTACATCATTCTGTGATTCGGATTTATACCATCATGATTCTTGAAGGAAGTATCCCTGTGAAGAGGCATTCATTCTCTATTGAGAACCTTGCAAAGAGCAGTCGTGACGAGGAACGGGCTCCCAGGCCTATGGACTTAGGGGGTCGGTTTCCCATCACCCTGCCTCTCCCCCTCCCACCCGTGGATTGTAAACTGTCTCCTGGACTTCCATATGAACGTGCCTCGTCCCCACAGGATGTGAAGGTCACCACGGACGTCACCCCTGCCACCAGGAAACGCCCCCGGTCGGACAGTACAGGGAGCCCTGATTTCATGACAAGCACTCCCAAGGGAGGTGACAGGTCACCCTTTTCCACCCTCAGCGAGAGGAGCTTCACCCCCTCTGTTTCCGGTATGTACAATATTTGGATTCTTGGATTCACGATTCAATCTCAAAGCATAATTGAACTTTATAAATCTATTGTTATAGGACAATATTCAAATGGTTGTTAATTGTTTAGTTTTGATATTTGATTGATGACAGTTACAATTTTGATTCATCAAATATTTTAACTTAATGTTCTCGACGTTTGTTATTATTTAAGCAAAAGGACTGTAATTTACGGTCTTGTCACTTTCCATAGTTTATATTGGATATTCCACGCTCTTCTTCCGATGTATATTTTATACTCCATTCTCTTCTCCAGATGATGACTCGGATGGAGAACCCTCCAGGAAGAAGAAAGCCCGCACTGCCTTCACGAATGACCAGGTTACTGCCCTGGAGAAGAAGTTCCGAGATCAGAAGTACCTGGCGGCCAGCGAGAGGGCTGACCTCGCTGACCAGCTCCAACTGACAGACCAGCAGGTGAAGACTTGGTTCCAGAACCGACGAATGAAGGAGAAGCGCCAGCTTAACCATCGGGAGGAACAGGCCCGATTCCCCTTCCCCACGGGCGGAGTCGACGTCACCCAGCTTCAGGGACTCAGGTTCCCACCCTACCCCCAGAGCCACGACACCACCGCCAGTTTCTCACCCACAGGACTACCCCACCCTGGGATCAACCTCCGCCCTCCCATGATCCCTGAGCTCCCACGGCACACAGGACTTCTACCACCTACACTGTCGCCCCACCCCCTCGGATCCATGTTCTCACCCCAGGGGAGCTACCCTGCCATGTCGCCACTCGACCACATGAGACAGATGAGGTCTCCTATGATGTTTCCCATGTATTAGGGAGCGAAACTCGACAGCCGTTGCTAGTGGCTGTTCAATGAAATCCACAAACAGTGCCAATAGGACAATTGTGCATCCAAAGTGCTATTTGTATATACTTTGTTTTGCTATGAAACTTTGCTCTGGAATGTGAGGCCGAATGTGTGTACATGCTAAAGTATGATCCATTTGTGATAGTGTGTATATTTTGTTTTGCTATGAGTATCTGATCTGTGAGGCCGAATGTGTGTACATGCTAAAGTATGATTCACTTGTGATAGTGTGTATATTTTGTTTTGCTATGAGTATCTGATCTGTGAGGCCGAATGTGTGTACATGCTAAAGTATGATCCATTTGTGATAGTGTGAATAAATGTTTGACATTTACAGATTTGTGTTGTCTTCATTGACTGAACACCTTGAGATATCGAGGTCATCAATGCAGTATAACAGAGGTTTACCACTCTCTCTGCCTTGATGATTTACTCGGTTTGGGAAGGTGGGCGTTCAAAATCTACATTGTTTAGAGCAATCTGAACAACGAATGCGGGTTCTTGGGTTGTCTTCTATGTAACAATCCAACCGAAATCCAATTTCGCCACAACCGTTGGAAGGACACTTCAAATACATGTAATAGCTTCTCACGTCTGTCTGGAAGGAATCTTACATAGTCCTAAGTTATTTCTGTTTGCCATCGATACTGCTCGATGTCTTTGTTTGGAAATGTTAATTTTGATTGTTTTTAAACATATTAATTGCATAACAGGTCAACGTGATTCTGCACAGTTTGTTTAAGCATCTGTAAAATATGTTTTTTGAGTTTTTGTACTCTATCACCGAGTATCTTCATTAGCAAGACACGCTGTCAGTTGAGAAAAGCGTTATAACCTTTTAACATTCTGGAGGTATTTGAGGTACGATTGAAATTCAAAGCCACACCGCCCACCATTGCGAAATATTATTTTCTAAAAACAAACGCCAGGTCAGTTCAGGAACTGTATCATCTAATTTTTAATCCCTGAATGTCCGAACACACAACAGTTGCAATCATTCTCTTGAATATATTTCTAGTGACTTCCAGATACTGTGTCAACAAAACGCGGTATTTATGGCACAATACATGTTCATCTTGGCGGTCCGCATTTTTGTCTGTGAAAGGTATTTCTGGCCAAAGGATTTTACCCGTGCTTGTAAGAGCCGCCTGATGGTTCTGGGCCCCGTTTCACAAAGCTCTCGTAAGCCTAAGATCTCGTAACTTTCCTCGTAGCATTCGTACCTCCCTGTAACATAGGAGGTACGACGCTCTTACGAGAACTAAGGTCAAGGCTTTGTGAAACGGGGCCCTGGTGGTCAAGGTCACAGAGTTGGTTGATGATTATTATCAAGTTACGCAGATCGATGCTCATGACGTCAATCACCGACCCAGATCATTTACAGACCAAGGTCTTACAGCTGATAAACAACAAACCAACAAAAATACATATATTATGTCGATAAAACCCCTCATGTATGCATATGCCCATGCACAACCCAAAATATGTTGTTGGTTGCACCTCCTTTATGCCATGCAGGTCATATTACAAACAACCACGGTATTCAAGGAAACCAGAAATTGGCTTTTGTGGGGGGCTCGTTGTTAAGATTACTCATAGATTTCCTCTATAAAATACGTCAATACAACAGTGAACGTGCATAATGAAACCGGCCAAATCACGAACATGATATCCGAGTGATAAAAGTGTGTGAAAACATTTGAAACAATTCGTTTCAAAATCGAGTTGATCATACTGTGTCAACCCACACGTTCTTTGGAGCAGGTTAAGAGGAACATTTGCTGCATATATCCAGACGAACACAATGATGAATGCGTACTCCTCCCATTTAATATGACTTTCCTTTATTTGAAGGGAAAACAGCCAATCTACCTGGCTTGGCTGGTCTCTGCATCGTTTATTATATTATGTTATGAAAGCAAGTCTTTAGGTATCATTCTCTGATAAAACACTCCACAAATTGTACTTACGGCAGTTTATTTTGTATAATTGTTTTGCTAATTAGGCTGTATAGTCAGGGAACCAGCCCTCGCAATTTGAAGCTGTATTTATGATGAATAAAACAGTATGCGGGCAATGGTAGGGGAATAGGCTTCCTCGATAGGTGTCTACAAGAAAAAACAAACAAACACACATGGACGAACAGCTATTTCTGATTTCATACAACGTGTATATAATAACGAAACAAAATGCACACAATTAATTGTGTTGACATCCGTGTCCACCCACGTGCTTCCATATATGGTCACTTGGTAACATGGTTATGCATCATAAATAGGTCGGGATATTTCTTGTTTACCGGTTCTCCTCTGTTAAAATGCCCGATGTATTATATATATAAATTCTTACAATACTAGTTAAAACGAAGAACATGCTTTACGCCGTTTAAAGAACCGTCGTTAAACTGTTCCTAGGTTTTTAAGTTTGTAAGCTGTCGAGAAAGCCATGTCTGTCAGTAATGCCCTTACACATACTGCAAAATGGTTACCACTGATGATAGGAACGGCGTTTGATCAAAACAACAACATTCCTTGCTTCAGTCATGTTTTAGGGTAGACGTCGAAGATATTTTCCAAATTTGACGCATTAGTGACAAAATGATGTGCGATGCAATTCCCTCATGTTGTTTCCCAGAACGACTGGTCTGTTTGAGCGTTTGTTTATGTCTGGTGGTGCAGGATATGCTCACTTTTTCATGAACACCTGGTATCATCACTATTGGACAGTGTTTTATAAACAACTGCTTCGGCCAAGGGTTTAGTCGGAATCGAACATAGACTTTTAACAGAGATTTCTTTGTTGCTTTTCATCCCATCAATCCCGTCTATATTACAACTAAAACTGTTCTAAACAATGAAAACAAAATAAGCAGATATTGACACGCTTCTCATATAACGCTTTGACTTTGTACTTGTAATAAAAACAAAATTACTGCATGTTCTAATGAATGAAAATAATGTTATTATTAAATGACAAGGAGAAAGAACACTTCCTTGCATGCTTGCATGTTCGCATCTTTTGAATTTTCAAATAGAGTTTCAAGTCGTATCAGCTCGACATTCTTTCATTGTAATTGCCTTCGAATTAACCTCTGTTCAGATCAACCCTATAGTCAATATTGATGTAAGGTCTTGACTGTCGTTTGAAACAGGAAATTAGATTTAACACGCATGAAAAATACCTTTAATCTCCAACAATCGGAAATGGATTTCTCCTCGTTAACATCTTATGGTCGACAATAGAAGTACTGAACTGTGAAAGAAGTTAAACGTTACAGTATTAATCCTAATCGGCTAAACCTGACCCCAGTAATGAGGTCACACACATATCCTGGGAAGGGTTAATTAACACGGACGCGAAAACAATTGGTGTTACTATTATACTGCCTTATATCACCTAGGTGTGAGAGGGACTTTAACATCACAGTTAAGGGTTCCTGTCTCACACGTAGGGAGAAAATATACGGGAGGCAATTGCTTTGATGAAACTGTAAATGGAGCAGACTCGTTAATTTCAGATGTGTGTTATCAGAGCACAAACATTGTAACAATTGAACGATAATTGCAATCTTTACGTTTTTATCAACGTTTTCGTATTCAAAGATTTTTAAGATGTGCTGCCATATAATTGGTATGAAATTTGTAATTTTGAACCTTTCGAATAAACCTGAATGCATTGGATCTTGTATCAAAGACAGGAAAAACTGACACCAACATGTGTCTATTAGTGAAGGTGTCCCTGTGCTTTCTCATAAGCTTTATTATGTCTACGTGCGTTTTAACTTGGTAACAAAGTAAGAATCTATGCCGAAATGTGAAACGTCCGAATAAACAAGAAGTTGTTATCCATAAAGTTGTATGCTTCATTATAGTATTAACCAGAGAATACCTATTAAATAAACAAAAAATTAAAAAACGTTCGTTTCATATCATACTGTTTCCAAGCTAATATTTGATAAATTTATTCACTTCTAATCTTTCTTGCAGCTGTTTATAATATCTATCATCTATATACATGTATATGCATGTACAGCTGCTTCAATTTATCCATGGATACTTAAATATATGTTACATTATATATACACTGAAAGACAGTACCATTCTCAGTGAGGTAGTACAGACAGATCTCTGGATTAATGAATGTTTAGTTCATAACAGGAATTGTTGGGAAAGTAGTATTCGTGGACCAAGGGATTCTTGACTAAATTTCACTTGACTTTGCAGCATGAAGTCTAACTGCTATATGATCAATGGTAAGGAGGAAGGGAGTTGTGCTTGGGGCTGTTTTGTGAAGTGTTTGTTACATCACAGCATGTAAGCTTAGTTTGGGAGGAAATCCTGAAGTTAAGCAGGTTCCAGATGTTTGTCACTTACATTGTGACGAATCAATGATCACAATGAGGCAAACTCAATGTTGTATGATTCTGGTCCACCAAAAGGGATGCAACTCTGCAAATAAGTACAACACTAAGAGTCTGGGTCAACCAACTCAAAGATGAGGTGAAATAGGGTTTAAGGTCCTACTTAAGAATATTAAGTATGACCACGTGCATGTGTGTGTGTCTGCTTGTACTATCCCAACAATAGTGTTAGCTCAGTGAGATACTATGCTGCAGTTAAGCATGAATACTCCACTCAGACATTATACTGACTTCGAGCTAACCAGACCTTGTTGTACCCATCAATGCCGAGCACCAGACAGGGTACAACAAGTAATGTTTTAATATCCTCTGGTATGAGGCAGCCGGGAATCAAACCTGCGACCTTCCTCTCTGGGTGGACACCAACTCGAAGACATACCTACGAAATAATTACAAACTGCATCATAAAACTTCATTCATGTTTATTTTGGCCAAAGCTATGTTGGTTGTAGAAATATGGATTATAAATGGCAGGCTGTAACAAACAGCCACAGGAGGACAAGGCTATGTACAGACTTACGCATCTTGTAATGTTTCATTATAATCAGTGTTCAACAAGGACGGACAACTCCCTGCAACACTTTTACACTGAAGTTAAAGACTTGAAGTTGTTGGATACATATACCTGACAGAGTGAGGAGAATTCTCATACACACAGTAGGATACCTCTGAGATGTAGAATATTCAGAAATATCCCAGAGTGGTACCGACCAGTCTGTCTCTTCAGCATCAATGCAGGTGAAAACTGTACATTCTTGACCCATCACAAACTCCATTGCATTATAAAAGTGGGAAATTGCAAACATAAAGTAAAATATCACAGCTATGGTTTTAATATGGCATAAAATAATTACTTAAATATATAATACATTAATAAATGGAAACAATAGACACTGCCTTTGGCAAAGTTAGTAGCTTGAGGTCAATGCTGGACATGGAGGCAAGTGAAGCAAACAACACACTAGATCATGTTGCATAAGAAAAATATGTTTTCTTTGATTCCTGTCATCAGTGACAAGGAGAAGTAATATGTGGAGTTCCACAATGGAAACATTTCACAACATACTTTGTTTCCAACAGAGCAAGTGTGATGGGTTTAACACTGTGTTGTGCAGTATTTCAGTTATAGTATGGTGTGTCAGTTTGACAAGGGTTGGTTGGTTGGTTGTTGTTTAATGCCACACTCAGCAATATTCCAGCTATATAGCGGCAGTCTGTAAATAATCGAGTCTGGACCAGGCAATCTAGTGATCAACAGCATGAGCATCGATCTACACAACTGGGATACGATGACATGTGACAACCAAGTCAGCAAGCCTGACCACCTGATCCCTTAACTTACGACAAGCATGGGTTACTGAAGATCAATTCTAACCCGGATCTTCATGGGTCATATGACAAAGGGATGCAACTCTGCACAGCAAGCAGCTGTATTACTGTACTACAGTATTACTGCCTGTGTCCCTTGATTTCTGAAGAACTGTAGGTTGAAATCTTAAACATGAACGGTCTCCAACCAAGTGAAATCTCAAACAGGCTCACCATGTGGGTATAAACAGAGTGTTACTGTAGCACTTTGATGTAATGTACATAGATTGGTCATAACTGTAGTTTCATCATAATGTTCTGAGAATATATCGGCATGACTGCTGCATTGTCAGTACTATGACAAGACTTGTGCAACAAAACTGACTGATGAGTTACCACCCAGATGGACGATGAGTCAATGGACGCACAGCACTTCTAGAACATTGATATTGTTTACTCAAATGTGGATGTCACTGAGACCAATCTTGGTCTGGTGTAAGACACAGAGCAGTACCAGTGTACAGCATATTGTTTTGTAGTTATATGAATGAAAGATGAAAATTTTCCAGGGTGTGTTACTCTGACTCCTCGAGACTAAACTCTGTCCTGAAGCAACCTGCTGTATTGGTTCCTCTAGTATGGAAAGGATTTTCAAGAGCACATATTTGTGAGAAATGCAATTCTGAATGAACCATTTACAGATGGATTATTATCCTTCATTTTCAATGACAACTATTTCCTTGTCTTGGTAAATATCACAACAAATCGCCACAAAGACTGTGTACACTATGGTAAAGTAATTAATGCTGTGAAACTGGTATTATCCCCTGAACTTTTCAGAGAATCACAATGTCAGCAGTAAGGTTCTATAACAAGTTTTATAATATTTTTTAAACAAAATATAATGAATCATTCCATGTTCTGAACATCCTTCTGAAATACATGATTGAGAAACCAGCACAAGGTCAACACATGACCATGAGTGGCCAGCACAAGGTCAACACATGACCATGAGTGACCAGCACAAGGTCAACACATGACCATGAGTGACCAGCACAAGGTCAACACATGACCATGAGTGACCAGCACAAGGTCAACACATGACCATGAGTGACCAGCACAAGGTCAACACATGACCATGAGTGACCAGCACAAGGTCAACACATGACCATGAGTGACCAGCACAAGGTCAACACATGACCATGAGTGGCCAGCACAAGGTCAACACATGACCATGAGTGACCAGCACAAGGTCAACACATGACCATGAGTGACCAGCACAAGGTCAACACATGACCATGAGTGACCAGCACAAGGTCAACACATGACCATGAGTGGCCAGCACAAGGTCAACACATGACCATGAGTGGCCAGCACAAGATCAACACATGACCATGAGTGGCCAGCACAAGGTCAACACATGACCATGAGTGACCAGCACAAGGTCAACACATGACCATGAGTGACCAGCAAAGCCTGATACAGGTTCCTTACAGACCAACATAAGGCCAACAGTGGACCTTGAAGGGACAAACGCAAAGATATCTTTATGGACCAATGCATGGACAACAGTTGAAGTTTCTGGACTTCAATCACAATTGCTTCACAATCCATGATGACAGCACATACAGATTCCTGGCACAGAAACCATGTAGGCTGCCACAGATACAATCCAAACCCTACTCCATATAGGTAAGTTCAACACAAACCCTACTCTGTATAGGCAAGTTCAACACAAACCCTAGTCCATACAGGTACATTCAACACAAACCCTAGTCCATACAGGCACATTCAACCCAAACCCTAGACCATATACGCAAGTTTAATGCAAACCCACAGCAACCTACCTGTGATGAATTGTTAATAAGCAATTTGATGGAGTGGTAAAGCCACAGTTTGTGATAAAATCAATTTATGTGTACTTGGTACATAAAAACCGACCTTGCAGAATATAGACTTAAATATGTAAATAATTTAAATAAATTTATTGGCTTAAATACTTGGATCACGTCAGCCAGTGCCATCCATGCCAAAATGGAAAAGACACATGAGGTTCAAGATGTACATAGCAATGGCTGAAACTTGTGAAAATAGCCCAAATTGTCTCTTAAACCAAACTTGGGTCAATAAAGGATCATATCCTAACTAATATCATCACTTCCATAACAAATTGTACCTAATATTCATAATCATTCATGAATGTTTACACAAGTTTATATTACATACTGTACATATTCATAGACTAACAATGCTTGGTATGATATAAATAGTTAATGCTCTCCATACAAATATATATTACATTCATGATAATACTTATATAACATCATATACTCTTCGTACGGTGACATGTGATGATGAATACTGGAATCAGCTACCTGTACCTATGGAAGTGGACAGACAACACAAGGAGATTTATCGCACAAATTTTTTGGTAAAGGCTGGTTGTGGTAGAGGCCTGACTGGGTTGAGGCGCTCATCATGCAGTGGGGAGCCTGGGAGGGGGTCGAGACGTTGGTTGTTGCCGGACAGGCTGGGGGCACTCGAATGTTTCGCTGGGTTCTTGTCACCCTTCCTCTTCTGCAACAAAATCAGTTATTCATGAATATTTGACACAGCAAGTGCGAATATATATTATGGCTGAGATCTGAATACAGACATGTGCCCCTGGCGTTTAGGCCCCAGGTGATTATTGCATAGCACAAGTCATTGGTCAAGTGTGAGTAGAGTTCAACACATCTTTGAAAGGTATCTCAGTAACATCATAGAGATCCCAAAGGCTGTGGATATTTACCACTTGAGTACAAACCCACATTCACAGGCATGGTACCCACAAACGAAGGATGATATTCATGAATCATGGATCTGAACCAATCACCAGTGGATCAAGGCATGGTTATGAGCTGGAGGACGTCAGTCCACTGGGCCAACATGTAAACAGTTATTCTTCTTTTTCAATGATGTGCCAGTATATTTCAAGATCAGCAATGGGTCATTCTCAACAATATTAAAACACACATAAAGTCCTACATCAATTATACTGGAATTAGACAACTCATGGAGAAACATTATGCCCAATAATTCAAACGCTGAACAGACTTGTGAGATATGACACGGGTATATACACTTGCTGATTAACTGACCTTGACATTGAGAGGGTTGAGGACGCCGACATTAGGACTGCTGTTGAAGACCTTGTTGAAGTTTGTCTCCCTGTTGACCAGCTCCAGCTGATAGAACCGCTTCTCATCCTGCAAATACATGAGACGTCAGCACAACTGCACCACAATCTACTCCAGACATTGTTAAGGACTAGATACCCTGAAGCTACTGGTGAGTAAATCTCCCTTGAAAATCAACACACAATAACCACATGTACTTGTGAAGCAAGTATATTTTATGACTGCTTCACATGATACTAACCATCGTGGCATCAGAGGTTGGATGAGAAGGAATACTGTCTAACAGTAAATTCTGAACTATTCATTGCAGTCTACATATATAGTGACAGCTAGGACAGGTCAACTAGTAGTCAGTTCTCAGCACATTCTTGGAGAGATATAGTCGTATAGTGATACAGTCATCAGGTCATACCATGATCTCCTTAAGGCGCTGCTCTCTCTCTGAGATGGCATCTCTCAGCTGCTGAATCAGCTCCAGGTCTTCAGGGCGAGACTCACGGTTCTCATATCTCTCTTCTGCCTCCTCCAGCCTATAACACAAAACATTAGATTGGATTAAACATGGGAACCACAGAGTCAGCAACTGTAGACAATCATCAGATGATATTCTGGAGAGGAGACAACCCACTAGAGAGAACCTGGACCAGGTACACCCTTGGTTCCTTGTACGAACAATGATACATACTGCTAGACTGCAACTCCTCACAAAAACATCAAAAAGAAGTCACCTGATCATTCTTGACAGCCACTTTTAAAAAAGATCACACCAGCAGATCACACCATTCTAAAATGAGACACCTTGCATGGATTCTTCATGGATCAACATTACATGGCATGCCTTATCCAATATGATGTCAACACAACACACCTAGGGAGTTGGCATTGGTGATGCAGTTAGCTAGAAATGTCTTTCATGGTGGCACAGAGGATGCAGTGAAATCGGTGTAACCTCCCACTCACCATCTACCTTGATGAATGTGAATTACATTCATATCAGTACTAACATCCTTTTGAAGAACCCACTCCTGCACTAACTTTTGAAGGTGATAAAGAATGTTATGTAAGTTTTAAAACAAATTCATTTTCTAGTAAGACTTCATAGATAATACATAAATCAAAACTTCTCCTTTGGCAGTTATCATCCACTATCCCATTCATACATGTGCAGTAGTGGAAGATGTCTACGTGCTAGCCTGTTTGAGTACATGCTCCTCAAAAGTTCAACTAAATGTCTGCTTAAGTGTTAGTCCATTCACAAGGAAATATATTTTTTACAGTCCACATTTTCACAATTGATGGATTCAAGCTGCTTTCATTCTAAACAACAACTCTCCACACACTTATTAATGTTAACAGCAGGTTGGGCAAGTAATGACCTTCACATCCTGGTCAAGAGAACCAGTAACCTGATGAGGTCCTTCAGAGCAATCGAGACTAGGACACAGTGAAGTTTGTTATTTTTTTCAGTTGGTCTACGATCCACTTACATCACTCGTGTTATCAGTCAGATGGATCTCATATTTTGCTTTAGGGCAGAATTACGTCACGACTCACTACTTAAGTCAAGTGACCAGCTCTCACAGAGACTCAGAGGCTGATCAAATGAGTGATTTGTTTCATGACAAAAAATATGTATTTCATTTTATTATTTGGGCTTGTATTTGTTTATTGATTAGCACAACACACAGTAATACTCTTGCTTTCATCCAGCAGGCAGTAGATAAACAAATCTGTCCAACAAATGTTGGTGATTGATATTACAAGCAATGTCCGTTGTGACCGGGCAGGATGACACGCCAACAACCACGACCAGTTCTAACTTGGAATACCACATGATTGAGTTGAGGATGTCAAATATGAAATTAAATTTCAGCTTTATTGATGGTTCTAAATTGCCTTGATGAAAAATGGAAAATCAATGCAATACTTCATGAATGTGTGTGAGCTCAAACTCATATTTGTTCACCAGCCATAAGTGGTCCTGTGGCTCCAGGCACCTCAATCCATTGCAGCGTTGAAAGCATGACCATCAAAAGGTCCTTCTCACCACCCTAATGTTAAAGGTTAAAGATTCTTGGGGTCCTTACATCTTAATACTATAGCTACAAAGCACATAGCGCCCCTTACACTGCACACTACTGGATGGTGCCCAGGATCTGTTCAAATTATAGATTTGCCCTGACAGTGATTTGTGTCAGACAAAAGGAATGAATGTTTACAACTGGGTCAGACTTTCTTCCTACATAGAAAAATATAAGATAATATGATCAAACTGCTAAAATTATGGTGAACCTGACATGTAACTCTCTCTTGGTGTGTTTGAAAACAGATTACTGCCTATGAAGATGCAGCAACACACACCTCAGTACACACACACCAACAACCTGTTATTATGACACCTGCTGGTTTTGAGGCAACAATGTTTTAGAAAGAAATAAACAGAGAAAAGGAGACCTTAAGTCAAGTAAATGTTGAGAAACAGTCAATGTGCCTCACAGTCTGTACCACATGGAACCAGAACTAGATTGGCACGATAAGCGAACACATTAACCTCTTGGCTACTCACAGCCATTAACGTTTAGGAAATGAATCCAGATTCATACAACTGCACCATATGAAATGCTGTTGGCATTCTTAGAGGAACCATGTGGCATTATATAGATGGCATTACATGTGGTAGACTCAGTGAACTCTTGTCATTTGCTGAGATGTAATTTGTCAGAAATCCGCCATCCCTGACTTACTTACTTGCAGGCATCGTGCCAAACAGGAGATGACAGACATCTTGAACATTCCTTCCTAATACAACTAAGACCAGCTCCAATGTTGATATATCTAAACAGACTGGGTGTGTTGGTGGAATCTGACGTACACCTCATGAACTACTCAAGTGATGACACCAAGAGAAACAGCTTCTTATCTGCACTCCAGGTCCTGCCAAGCATCTTTATGATCAGTATTTTAGTAGGGTGTTCAGCTCTAGACCTTGGTTGCCATTTGGGGACATGGTGTTCCTATTTTTAATACATAGACACACATTTGTAATGCAAGATAGCAGAGATAATATGTCAATCATAAGATGAGATTGTGTGTGCTTGTTACATTGCCTGAGTATTGGTTGTCCCATGTTAGTTTCCACGTCCCACTTTCACAGATGTCCTTGATGTCATGAAGAAGTCCACTGGTGCCTACGTCCTTATCAATAAGGGAGGGAGAAGGGTTGCATGAACGGAGCTTTGAACACTATTACATGCAGTGTGAGCCTAGTGTGGGGGGGAAGTTTCAGCTGTCCGAGGTTGAAAATATTCACCACCTTGGTGAAACCTATGAAAAAGGGAATAGCACCTACAATGATAATAAGAAGAATCAATAACATGAGATGAGAACTAAACAACCTGCAACCAGCAGATCCATGTCTTGGTAAGGGAAACAACTCTGCACATGAACCATAAGCTACAATGACTGCTGAGCCACAACACCTAACTCCGTCATCTGAGCAGTCAGTCTCACTACAGTCTTCCCTGCCCACACATCTTCACCTCAAGTTCTGCACTATTATGACTACAAGTTGGTTGTCACTCCTTGTTAGATGAACAGTCACAACACTGTACATTACAACATGGGGCGTAGTGCCACTAGTTAGCTCCCACTATTTAGCTCCGCTTTGTGCATGTATGCTGCTAACCACAACAGGTACTTTACAGTACGAAACAGCCACGAGTTCATAGCAGGGTAAATATATATCCTGAGAGGAAAAGAAACCAATGTAAGTGTTGGTATTTAAGTCATCCCCCTAAAAGTCAATTAGAAGCTTCCTTCAAGCACCTTCCCTTGATGTATTTACACAACGGTTTCCAGTTACGTCAAGCTTCGTCTATTATCGATGCCCCACTAAAAATAGAACCCAGGAGTGTGTGGTCCTTTCGGTACTTTCATGTAAGCAGGACCATTAACATTCAGCAAAATGGAGTTCCCAGTTAAAAAAACCTACAGCATGATCTGCTAACTATGCACTTTCATGCATATGGAGGGGATCATATATACCATGGTCCAGCCTACTTTTTTCAGTTTGGAAAAATACAATCCACCGTTTCTTGGCCAAAAAAGAAAAGCTTCATTGTAATTTACTGATGTGAGACAAACATTATTTTGATCAGCCTAACTATGTACTGTTTGGGTTACTGCCACAGACAACATCATGAAATGAGTCAGTGATCCCAGCCAAGGGCTCTCTGTAAGGTGGTGTGGAGTATTTCCTCTATACAATGGTGTGTGCACTCACTGTATCTGCAGCTCGGAGATCTTATCCTTCAGCATTTCCTGGGCCTGGTTGAACTGCGCCACCATGTCCTGCATCTCACGGATGTGGTCAGCAGACAGGTTGTCCAATGACCGCTGGTGCCGACTCTGGAGCTGCTCCTCTTGAGACCTGATGGAGAGGAAGAGACATGCTAGATGCTATCACCAGTAGCAACCTGCGCGTGTGACAAGCTCGGGCACATGAAGAAACCCTGAGAGAACTTTAACTAAGCAGGAATCTATTGATAATTTCCCACACTATGAATAACATGTGTCATTAGATAGGTGAATGAGATTTTATGAGTTAATGATCATGTAAAGCTCCACACAAAATCTACAAAATGTCCCAGTTAAAACTTATTTACTTTGAAAATGATTGTGTGGTAATTAGATCAATCCTGTAGCCCTCCCACAGTCAACCTTTTCAATTATGACTGTGGCATCAGAATGTCTGTACAGGCTGCCCTAATGACTTTAATGAATTCTTACAATTTCTGCAACTGGTATATAAAGACTACAATTAACACCAACTTGGTGAGTGAGTGAGTGAGTTTAGTTTTACGTCGCACTCAGCAATATTCTAGCTATATGGCAGCGGTCTGTAAATAATCAAGTCTGGACCAGACAGTCCAGTGATCAACAGCATGAGCATCGACCTGCGCAATTGGGATCCAATGTGCAACTTGGTAACTGAGATGATTAATTCTCAGTAACTGTTTTAAATTAAACAGAAATGTTTGTGCTATTTAGCTAAATTTACAGTACCTGAAAACATTTGAGCACTACTGTACCATATCTACATATAGGTGATCATTGTTTAATGTCCATCATCAAGCTTCCATATATTACACAAGGACTACTTCGTGTGAGCTGGCTACCCAACCAACCCTCTTGCCAACTAAGAAACATCCAACCTACTTGAGTCTGTTGTTAGCTTCACTTCTAGCTTTGAGGATTTCCTTTCCTTTTACAGTGATTTCTTTCTTCAGTTGTTCAGTGTCATTCTGCCACTTGCGTATCTCCTCCTCCAGGTTCTTGATATGGCGCTCCCGCTGAGTTATCTCTCCTTGAAGTTCTTCTATCCTCAGTGAATGGTCATTGTCCTATGATTGGGAAAGTCAGTTAGTAGGGTGCGATTTCGTTGTTTTTGCAGTACCTGCACTGAGTGCAACATGGCTTATAGGTTTGGCTGCATAATCAAAATTTTGGCTGCACCCTAAAATAATGTCACTTGTTCTAAAAAGTAACATAAATACTTGTTCAGCAATTTTCATAACAAATCCTCTGTATCAGATACATTCAACAGAACCTGACCCCTTGATGATAAATGATTTATGATTCGGTTTCAATTTTGCCTTACCTTCTACGTAACTCATTTATGAGTACACAAATGTTTATGCTTGTAACAAGTCATGCGAAGAGAAACATATTACTTACTGTCACTTACTTCCCAATTAAAACACATGATGACAGCTAAAAGATGATGGATGATTTATTGCTACCTGCACTGAAGGTAACCTGCACCAGCCAACATGCCCCAGTGCAGGTTGTAAATAGCGAAATCGCACCCTGGTTAGTGAAAGTTGTTCCACCTACAGGCCCTCGAGTCTTTGCGAAGATTAAAGATTTAAAAAATAATAAATTTGGAGATGACCCCGACTCGAAATGCTTCACAGTACAATACATCATGACAAGGCCGGACACTTCGGTGTACCCCACTCGCCTGCTTTGCCGATTGTTACGCTACCATCGATTGCAATCATTTAAAACTTAATGTAAACATAATCATGGATGATTGGCCTATCAATCACCACTTATGACACCTACTAATTCTTTATTGTTATTTCTGCAAGTTGAATGAAACCCGTCAACTAAACGATCTTGACACAAATTGATGACTATATGTCCGGACAAAATGGTTGTGTGGTCGAAGCCATAATATCATAATGTATTGTACTGTGAAGCATTTCAAGTCGGGTTTTTTTTAATCTTTAACTCATTAAGCCCGAGAGCCCCATCACTACTCAATACCTGGAAGCCCTCGCTGATTGCCCACTCTCTGTGCCGAGACTAATTAGTGCTAGTCACACCTGATTTCCCTGGCAGGTTTCGGGGATCACAGGAAACTGTCTAGTCGTACAAACAAGTCCTGATTGTTTAATTGTGTCGTAAAGATATATGTTGAAAGAAATCAGGTGTGAATACATGTCGTGTATTGCAAGCTTTATGTAATTTTATTGCAAGTTTCTCTTGTAGACCTTTTGTCGGCTTGTACATTTATATTTTATCACAATATGCATACACATGTATTCTTTGTATGTAACAGATGAGACACACGTTAACAAATTCTCTCTTATATCATTGTGTGAGGTTTAAATTTACAAATCATCTATGACAATGACATACTGTAAAGAAGAATTTACTTTCATACTTTATAATCTTCGACCTAAAATAGCAGTTTTGCCGATACATTTCTAGTGTTTACTTAATTATTTTAATGAAAGTACTATAACGCTAGTCTGTGACTAGCACAAAGCACATTCATAGCATTGCACTTTATTTCATACAGATTTAATGCAGAAAACATAATGTGACCATACAAACATACATATAAAAAATGTATACTACATATTCCTTGCATAGACATAAAACAAAGAGTCACGTGATAGGGCGTCATCAAATTTCCCGAATAGAACGTTCGGTATCTCAACTGTTCAATGTAGTTGCTCGTCATATGCTATCTGCGACCAATCGTATCATGAGATACCTGTCACAGAGGAAAGGACAGGTGATGGGGCGTGGGCAAAATTTCTGAAGAGCACGTTTGGTTACTCAGCAGCTTGGATAGAGATTGGTTATTGGCTATATCCTTGACCAGTTGATATGCTGGGTTTCGGGCTTTATCAACTCAAACTATCATGTAACAGTTTGTGTATTGTAAACATACACACTGGTAACGATGTATGAAATACACACATAAGGAGTAGATAGGAGTAGATAGTCACTTTGGCGAGTTTATTTGTCCTCATTTTAGTGTTTTTCGATAAGTAAAACAAAGCGATTGAAATCCAACCACTGAGTAGAGGTAGTATTTATTTTCATATACATTTTATGCACACAACTAGTACATAAAACATAATGGTTTGCTGTACATGTAAATATAATCTTCACCTTGATACGAATGACTATCCAAACTAGAGTACACGCATTACAGAATTCACGAGGTGACACTATACTGAATTATTATAGTGTATAAACTTGCAGTTGACACCCCCACCCCCAATATTTATGAAGGTGGGCGTGCCTATATCTTTACTGAATGCAAACGAGGTTCATAAGATTACAGATGTGCATGCATGTATAAACATCACAGAGAGGGGCGTGACTCCATAAAGCAAGATGTCCAATGATATAACAGCGCATCTGTTTATTTTACACTTGTCACGGGACAAACCTTTCAACAAGGACGTAACTACATATATGCATTCTAACGGAGGCTGTTATTTCAAGGTCGAAAGAGGCGTTCAATTATCTCATTACTGTAATCTGCTTGAATGATTATACGCATGTGTATCGATACCGTAACTGATATACTATCCAGCTTTTATTGACGATGGATCAATAGAGACTGAGTTGATTGATACACGTGATAATTGCACCGGATTTGATAATTACACAGATCAAATACAAATTTTACAGAATGCTCATGTAAATTGCACAGAAAACCGACAATTCAAATCAACAAGAAACTTTCAACAGCTTGAACAAAAATGCTTGAAATACCTTTGTATGGCTTACATGTAATAACTTATGATATTACTTCTGTCCATGTGTAACAATGTTTTGAATTACCAACTTACTGTCTTTTGTAACAAACGTAGTAAAACATTTCATTGTTGTAATAACACTGACATGTATATATGTATTCGATGCAAAGGCTGACTTATCACTTTATATTCGCTTAGGTAACATTACGAACTTTAGATTATGGAAAACAACTAGTTACAATTCAGTAAACTTCAAATTAGTAAGTTCAATTATGTTTAATCTATTCGAGCTTGGATGTATAATTACTTGTGTTTATACATTATGTTTCAGTATATGAAACATGACAACGTAATGATGCCTAAAAAGTAAATTCAAACTATTCTATTGTGTTTGAATTCTTTGTATGTCCTTGAAATTTCGTATATTGTTTCCTATTTATTAGGTAGTTGAAGGAAATATAATTTTTAGTAACCTCTAAACCATTACATCTAATTCAATCAAGGTGCATACGAAGTATTTTAGTATCCATTCCCAAGGAAGAGTACCAGGCACTTACCTCTGTAAAAACATCATAATCCCCTTTCTAGCCGACATGCATTCATTTGCTAAACGCTGTACAAGCCTATGATAATGATTAGCAATTGTTATCAAAACACTTTAAATACTTCTTCTGATTGATACTAAAGGTGGGATCTCTCGTAAGAAAAGCTAACATTTGCTCAGTACTGCTAAATTGGTTGAAATAATAGGTACAGTGCGATTTTTAAAAGTACAACACACATGTGCGTCTCTTGCTGAATAAGAGGTGCTTTCTGTTGACGACTGTATGTGGCTCTCGCTGTGAGAAACTGCTAATTACCTGCCCCATAAACACGTCACTCGCTGTGAGGAGCTGATTAATTTGCCCCATATATGCGTCTCTCGGCCTTAATGAGTTAATCTTCGCAAAGACACGAGGGCCTGTGGTTCCACCCTGCAGTGAGTGATATTCCACCTATATGACTGTGGCCTAGTAACCATGGCCAAACAAACCATTGATTGAAAGCACGAGCACTAACCCATTCCATCAGAACACAGGTAGAGAAATAGACACACAGGCAAACATCTTTATCAGCTGGACCCCCACTTATAAACCTCCAGTGACGTCACTCTATTGTCTCGCCAGGTTCTCCTTTCACCAAGTAAACCTCTACAGGCAGTTTCGCGGGCATTCTCCATGAAATCCCGTGGATTTTCTACAGAATTGCCCGCATCCTGGGGATTTTCTGAGGAATAGCCCTTGACTTTGAATTTTTACTTGTTTTGACGATTGATATAACTTTGTTTTGCTATCACTGATTACGTTCGTAAAATATCACACAATTGAAAACTTTCAATATATAGTGCCGAGACCTGGTTTCGAACCTGCAACCCTTTGCTTACTAGCTTGGCGGTTTTATCCACTAGGCTACGAAGGATCGCTGTGGAGAATGTGATTGTTTGTCAGTATGAACCATGTGTTCCTCACAAAACAACCCTCCCCAATTTCCCTCTGCTGCAAGCTTACTTTTTGAAACAAATCCTCGGAGTCGGTTTTGATCCTTTACAAAAAGCTGATCAATCCTGATCGTGAATCCCACATGGGATTGCTACTATTATTACTGTGAGAAAAATATTATAATGAGATTATACATCTTTAACCATTTCTGACCTAGAAAATGAAATGACAAATACTCTCCATAAATCTTATAATACCATTTACTGTTTGACATCAGATATATCATATTCAGCTTTGGTTAACTATGTGTGATCTTGTGTTGTACCTTTTGTTTGGAGATCTCTACAGCTCTCTCCAGCTGCATCCTGGCAGCTGTCAGCTCCCCCTGGTGGCTCAGCTTCAGTTGTTCCAGCTCCTGCAGGTGGGTGCTGGTCAGCTCGTCACGCAGCTCGGCTGTGATGCACAGAGGAACCGGTGTGGTCACCGTCATTGTAATATAAGTGTTATCACTTAACACTACTGAATATGAAGTCCATACTAACACATACTGTGATGCATGGCTCCATCAGGAATATTAAATTGAAACCTTTTGTCCATTGAAACATTTGTCCTCTAAATACAGAGCAATTACTACCAGTGAGAGAAATGTGTGTTTGATTATCAACATAATTTTGTCACATATACTTAAGCAGCAGTGCTAGAAACAAAGTATTTTGCCAAACATATAGTCAGTCCTGTATCAGGTCATGTAATGCTGTTGTAGAGATGTTGTCTACCTAGAGCAGTCTTGTGTTTCTCTGCCATGTCCGACACCTCGGTGAGTCTGGCCTTGTCGGCCTGATCCTTGATGTTTTCCACCATAACCCGGTGAGCTGTTGTCTGGGCCTGCATGTCCTCAATGTGCTGTGTCCGCAACTTCTTCTCTATTTCCTGTAACACACATACAGCATGACATGGAACTGTATATGATACACACGTATACATGACGTACACAACTACAACATGAAACACACCTGTACATCATGATACACCTGTACATTACACACAAGGGTACATTTTGATACTCAGAGGTTCATCATGACACACCTGTACATGACACCTGCAACTACAGCATCAAATACATCTGTACATCATGACACACACCTGTATATCATGACACACACAGGTACATCATGACACACCTGTATATGACAAAAATACAACTACAGCATTAGACACACCCATACATGACATACCTGCACATGACATCATGACCATCATGACACACCTGTACATGACACACACCTGTATATCATGACACACACAGGTACATCATGACACACCTGTACAGGACACACACCTGTATATCATGACACATACAGAGGTACATCATGACACATACAGGTACATCATGACACACCTGTACATAACACACACCTGTATATCATGACACATACAGAGGTACATCATGACACTATTATGACACACCTGACACACAGGTACATCATGACACCTGTACATAACACACACCTGTATATCATGACACACACAGGTACACACAGGTACATCATGACACACCTGTACAGGACACACACCTGTACATCACACACTGTATATCATGACACACACAGGTACATCATGACACACCAGGTGTACACACCTGTACACACACCTGTATATCATGACACATACAGAGGTACATCATGACACACACAGGTACATCATGACACACCTGTACATAACACACACCTGTATATCATGACACACACAGGTACATCATGACACACCTGTACATATCACACACCTGTATATCATGACACACCTGTACATCATGACACACACAGGTACATCATGGTACATCATGACAAACACCTGTACATCATGAACACACAGGTGTACATGACATACACACATCACAGTACATCATGACATCACACAGGTACATCATGACACACACCTGTACAATAACACACACCTGTATATCATGACACACATCAGGACACACACCTGTACATCATGATCATGACACACAGGTACATCATGACACACCCTGTACATCAAACACACACCTGTATATCATGACACATACAGGACACAGGTACATCACCTGTACATAACACACACCTGTATACATGACACACACAGAGGTACATCATGACACACACCTGTACATGTACACACCTGTATATCATGACACACCTGTACATAACACACACCTGTAGTCAAGAGGTACATCATGACATTACATGATCCTGTACATCATGACACACACCTGTATATATATAATGCCAAAGTCAACATCATTCCATCTTTATGACAGCAGCCTATAAACACTCAAGGCTCAACCAGACAAAGTAGTGACTGATGCAATAGCCAGCAGTGTCCCTCACCACCTCTCAATACTTGTCTTGAGTGGGTAAGTGAACTGGGTGAAGGCATGTCAGCTGCATGTAAGTAAAGGGTGAAGTCTTCACATATTTACCACTATGGTGAAGCCCAGGAACACAGGGTATGGTGCTGCCAAACCAAAGATCCTGATCAGGTTCCCTTAGTCAACACGTACACAGTCAGGGCACCAGTTGTCATCCCAGGATGCCCATAGGGCATGACAGAACACTTAGAGTGACTGAAAACCTAACTTAAGACGTGTCTCTCATTTCTGTGGAACATTTTCAGATTGAAAACTAATTCCAAAGATCGCTAATTGATGCAACACTGTTATATGTCATTTTACATGATTAAACACACACATTTATCTGAAAAGGAACAGTAATTCCATTCAACAGTTCCATGCATAAATGTATCTGTCCCAACAGTTCTTAATATCATCTATTTCAATCCCATCCTCATAATGTCTTGTTTCTTACAATGATAAAGCAGTGATAGCAATTTAATGGATGCCTGGTCCTTGAGTTTGCTTCAAGAGTGTTTAATCTAATTACAACCTCCAATTTCAGTTTTCAGATTTACAGGGTTATGACATGGACCATTTCACTCTAAATTTCATAAAATGTTAATCACTGATCAGTATCTTAAAACAGCAACACCTTGTCTACTATTAACCTCAACAGAAAAACCACACCCCAACCACTACATAACTTACGAGATTCAGTTTTGATCTGCACCAAGAAATCTCAAACCACTCCAAAAAATCAATTTTGGATGGACTCCAAGGAACCCAGAAAAAGGCCATGATTATTTCAGAAGCCAACAAACTGGTGGCGAAGCATGTTTCATCAGAGGCGTGTACCTCCTCCGCCAGTGTGGCGGTTACACAACTCTATCTTCTAAAGCAATAACAATCTTACCATTTCTCAAGATCATATTTCATCTTATCACAGTAAAAGAACAATTATTGTCTTGATGTACTGACTATCTCTTCCGATACACGTCTTCATTGGCACATTTTTATTTTTCATTTAGTTTGATATCCTGAAGGCGACTGTTGTACTCTATGTGAATGGCGTGCATGGAAGATAACTCATCTTTGTTTTCCAGATTTAAGAGGACATTCATCTCCATCAGTTTGTGCTGAAGTAATCATTGGTTCAAACCCATCAGTTTGTGTTGAAGTAATCACTGGTTCAGCCCATCAGTTTGTGTTGAAGTAACCATTGGTTCAAACCCATCAGTTTGTGTTGAAGTAATCACTGGTTCAAACCCATCAGTTTGTGTTGAAGTAACCATTGGTTCAAACCCATCAGTTTGTGTTGAAGCAATAATTTGTTCAAACTTAAGAGCTCATGTAAATTAAAATACACATGGTCAACAGACTTCACTGTCCAAACCTTCTTGTGATTTGATGAAATATTTATTTCTACCTTCTTAGATTGTTTCTGACAATGAAACATTTGTCGAATACAGGAAAATGCCAACCCATTACATTGCCATAAGATACACAGTTCATCTATATTAAAGGGGAACACTACCAGAGACAACCTGATAATGATACATGACCTGCTGCAGCTGTATTGAATTATCACCAGGATGAGATGAATGGAGTTCTGCATCATACAAGTATACATGTTGCCACATTAATTCTCTGTGTTCTCGAACATGTGGATGCAATATCGACTGTGTAATTTAATGCACTAGTTATCAACACTGACAACATAATCTAATCAAGCCCTCATAACTGCATTCAAAGTAAAGGAATATCTTTATTATTTCTTAATTTACTTGAAAAAACCATAGATCATTTTTTTCCATCTGGATGCCTGTTGGTCTGTCCTACAGACCGGAAACAAACATATCCAAGAAAGCCCGCGCAAGTCTAGAAACTGTGGCAAGTCTAGATTTCCAGAGCTAATAAAAAGGTTGCAAGGCTCCTTTTTCATTTATATTTTTATTTTTTTACTTTTTTTTACGTTTTTTTCTGTAAAATATGTTTCATTTCAAGAGACTAATTGTTAGTCTTGATGCAGTCTGACTGTTATTTGCATTATGACATGACTGCAAGTTAACACACTGCTTTAGACAGCTGGCAGAGTCGCTTCAAGACATTATACCAGTAATACACACTGTGCTGTCTACCAAAATATATTCAGTTACAAACTGTTCCACATTAAGCGGATAAAAGCTTGAATACTAGATTTTGAGTACTTGCCATGTATTCAGAAATATGGACAAAAGAAACATGTATCTACATAACCCATTATATCTAAGGCTGAATGTGATATTTCTTTACAATCCCAGATAGTACTAAATATTGTAGTCATTAAAGATACAATGAAATGGGCACATGTTCATTTCAGGTATTGTCATATGAAGAGCCAACTGACAAAAGAAAACCTGATGTCAGGATCATTGAAATCCGGCGCCACTTAGTCACACACAGAAACTATATTATTTATCGAAGGCACAATGCAGCAGCGGGACGTTATATTAATTAACATATGCGGCTTGTGCGATAACAACCTTCTCCATAACATTACAAGCATGACTGTACTCATTCAAGTAGTGCAACATCTCTACGGCGCATCTGATAAGAGGCTGCTCAATCACTCCAACTCTCCATGGGTCCTCCCACCTAAAGATTAGTGACATCTCCATTATAGTTTATTTGTTCATGCTAGGACACCAGAAACGCCGTCACCTGGTACATAATCTTGGAAGGCGTTTTTTCCACATTTGGAGAGGATCCATAAATTCTTGAGGTGGCTGCTTGAATGTTTTGAGACCATTTCAACTTTATAACCCCAAAACCTTGCGGCTCAGCAAGGCCACAAAGAATTAAAGGTTAGCCGGTTGGAATTTCATTTTGAATTTCTGGGACAAGATTTCTGGAATCAAGATTATCCCAATTTACGTCCAAGAAAAAGCGTTTACATTTCTTAAGAACAAACCCTAATTTCATATTATATTCTTTTAAAGTCTATTTTGAGTGACGAAGCGGATATCAGAGAGCTAGGAGACCGAATTCCAAGGAGGCTCACTGACATTTCCAAAAGAGTGGGTTCATAAAATTCAAATTAATTTTTCTTCATAGAACCCTCGCATTCCAACATTTTTTTGGAATGTACAAAATGCCATGAAACGTTTTTTCCATGTTCTGTGATATTTCAAACAGACGAGTATCATCACAGACATGTCAAAACGGCTTGAATAATAATTTTTTGTTGAAGTAATCACTGGTTCAGCCCATCAATTTGTGTTGAAGTAATCATTGGTTCCAACTCATCAGTTTGTGTTGAAGTAATCACTGGTTCAGCCAATCAATTTGTGCTGAAGTAATCATTGGTTCCAACCCATCAATTTGTGTTGAAGTAATCACTGGTTCAGCCAATCAATTTGTGCTGAAGTAATCATTGGTTCCAACCCATCAATTTGTGTTGAAGTAATCACTGGTTCAGCCAATCAATTTGTGCTGAAGTAATCATTGGTTCCAGCCCATCAGTTTGTGTTGAAGTAATCACTGGTTCAGCCCATCAGTTTGTGTTGAAGTAACCATT